CAAGCCTGTAGAAATAACTTCACCTACCCAAGCTCCTGTATCCTGACTTCTGCATTCTAGGTTCGCTGTACATAGGACCCATTCCTCCAATGGTACTAATCTTATTTTTAATGACCAAAGTACCTGCTTGCATTGTGTATTTGCATTCTCATATGCCAAAGATTCTATAAGGAGTCGCCTAGATTCTGGATTTGCTACATGTACTTCTATTGCTCTGGATAATCTCTCTCAAAGTTTAGTGAACCTTTCCCTTGGACCCTGTACTACCTTGGTATAGGGTTGCATTGTCTCTCCTGTTTCACAAACCTTATCCAAAGCATTCAAAGAAGCTGTATGGCATAAAGACAACATGTGCTCATCATATGCAGACTGAACCTGTGGGTCAGCATAAGCACCCTCCCCAAGAATCTTGTCTTGGGGTGCTTCATGACCGTTCTTTAATTCCTGAATCTGTAAGGCTTTTGCTTCTTGTGTCCATAAAGCTATCCATTGAATTTGACAAGAATTTTTGAGCACTGCCGAGGCTAATTGGGCCCAGTCTTTTGGGGTTACTCTATTTACAGTGCACCATGAGGTTAGGAGCTCTCTGACATAGGGAGAATGAAGACCATATAAAAAATGGCCTTCTTAATTCTCTTTATGTCCTTCATCTGTATAGGTTCCCATTGATAAGCAATGGGACCATTTTAGTGCTTTTTTGTTGCTGGTTTTTCGGTTACAGATTCTGGGAAAACCTAGATGAATGCATGCAACCTTAGGGAGATATTTCTGGCATTTGAGAGGAGTTGAGAAACCCCTGTCCTGACCTGTTGCCAGTATGTCTGATTCTGAAGTATCAGATTGGACGTCTTCTAATACGTCCAATCTATTCATCACTGTTTCTCTTGAAGTAATTTGGACAAATAATTTTCTAAGGACGTCAAGGAATCCTTCATTTTTTTTGCATTCATCACTTACACATGATTCCAAATATTCAATATCCTCATCTTTCAAAAGTATCTCAATGGCATGTAAACTGTCTTCAAGAAATAACATTCTATCAGCTTGTTTGTCATTGTTCTCAGACATGGAACAAATCTTTTCTGTTAGCTTTTCAATGTTATGTTCCAGCCTTTGTAGTTTGCAATTGAAATCATCAAACATGGGAGTTTTGTTGGTTAAATGTTTCTATTCTGTCTGTTGAGCACATTTTTCCTGAAAATCATTCATTTTTGTGTTCCATCTCTTTAAACCTGTTTGTCAGACCTACATTATCATGTTTCATATGCTGAATATTTTCTACCAAACCTTCCTTACTATACTACAAGGAATTTTCCATTTCCTGAATTCTTTGTACTAGGATTTCATAAACATCTTATGATGACCATATGACCTGTATGAGTTTCGCCCTATTTTTGAACCATTTCTTTGGCAAAATTATATTGATTATGAAACTAATAATCACCATCGTGGGTAGGAAGTACATTCCAGGTAGGTCTTCAAACCTTTCTAAAATCCCAAACATACAAAAAACAAGAAAATTCTTAACATCCTGCATCGTAATGTTAGTTGACATTGTATAAAGCTGTTAAGTTTGTTACCAGTGGAGTTTTATTCAGGCAGAAATCAGCAGGTTGCCAGTGAAAGAGCACGTGGCCAAGAGAGAAATCTCAGAATACCATTTAATCTTACTGGCAGGTAGAAGGTACTGGCTCCTGGTGGCAGAAATCGTGCCTTGCTGAGAGAAGTGGTGGGGAACGTAGCAAAAGGAGAGTCCACATGTGCCTGGTCAGGCTGAGGAGCAGCCGCTTTCTGGATCCGAGTTCTGGAAGTTCTGACACCAAAATGATGATGCAACAATAAACAGCACAGTTACTGAAAGTAAAAATAAGTATTTATTGTAGACATTACTCACAAGAGACCAAACTAGTAACCCAACTGAGCCGAATAATTTTCCGCCAATGAACTGGAACACGAAAGCTGGAAAAAAAAGAGAGAATTCCCTTGTTCAGTCTTTTATATCTTCCCCCATAACGCCCCTAGCCATGCCCAAAAGTGGGCCTGGCTAGTGATGTAGTTTACCACCTACATCCATATATGTCTTTAGTCACACAAAAAGTGGGTGTGGTTCGCAGTGTGGTAAACTGCTCTTTTATTACCTCATCTGTATGGGCCTCTAATAAGTCACATGGCTAATGGTAGCACACGGTTTCCTCCTACACATCACCCTTTACAATTGCCACAAACAACATAAAATACCTTGAGGTAATGCTAACCAAACAAGTGAAAGACCTGTATCACAAAAACTTTAAATATTTAAAGAAAGAAATTAAAGAAGCCCTCAGAAAATGGAAAGATCTCCTATGCTCTTGGATAGGTAGGATCAATGAATTAAAAATGGCAATCCTGCCAAAAGCAATCTACAGATTCAATGCAATCCCCATTAAAATCCCAGCACAATTCTTCACAGACCTTGAAAGAACAATAATCAATTTTGTATGGAAAAACCCAAGAGAGCCAAAACAACCCTGTTCAACAAGGCAATGTCTGGAGGCATCACCATCTACTATAGAACTATAGTCCTGAAAACAGCTTGGTATTGGCACAAAAATAGACAGGTAGACCAATGGAATTGAATTGAAAACCCTGATATTAACCCACACATGTATGAACATCTGATTTTGACAAAGAAGCTAAAAATATACAACGGAAAAATGAAAGCATCTTCAACAAATGGTGCTGGCATAACTGGAGGCTGGCATGTAGAAGAATGCAGATTGATCCATGTTTATCACCATGCACAAAATTTAAGTTCAAATGTATCAAAGACCTCAACATAAATCCAGCCACACTGAACCACTGAAAGTGGGTGGGACCCTTGATCTAATTGGTACAGGAAACAGCTTCCAGTAGCACAGACAGTGAGATCAACAATTAATAAATGGGACCTCCTGAAACTGAGAAGCTTCTGTAAGGCAAAGGACACAGTCAGCAAGACAAAAAGGCAGCCCACAGAATGGGAAAAAATATTCACTAACCCCGCATCTGACAGAGGGCTGATCTCCAAAATTTACAAAGAACTCAAGAAGCAAGTCTCCAAAACACCAAAGGATCCAATTAAAAAGTGGGCTGAATAACTAAATAGAGAATTTTCAATAGAGGAGTCTAAAATGGCTGACAGGCACTTGAGAAAGTGTAAAACATCCTTAGCCATCCGGGAAATGCAAATCAAAACAAATCTGAGATACCAACACATTCCTGTCAGAAGGGCTAAAATCAAAAACACCAAGGACAATTTAAGCTGGAGAGGATGTGGTGAAAGGGAAAAACTCCTCCATTACTGGTGGGAGTGCCAACTTGCTCAGCCACTTTGGAAATCAGTATGGAGATTCCTCAAAAAAATGGGAATAAACCTACCACAAGATCCAGCAACTCCACTCTTAGGCATATAACCAAAAGATACAGATTCATACAACAAGGATGTCTGTTTCACCATGTTCATAACAGCATTATTTGTAATAGCCAGAAATTGGAAGCAGCCTAGATGCCCCTCAACCAAAGAGTGGATAGAGAAAATGTGGTACATTTACACAATGGAGTACTATTCAGCAGAAAAAAAAACCAATGGAATTCTGAGATTTGCAGGCAAATTGATGGCACTGGAATAAACCATCCTGAGCTAGGTAACCCAGTCTCAAAAAGAGAGTCATGTACTCTCTCATATATGGACTTTAGACATAGATCTGGGGAGAGCCAGCCTACAATCCCATGGCCAGAGAGTCTGGGAAACAGAACCTTCATTTAGTGGCTGATGGAAGAAGAGGCACACTCCCACGGCCAAGCACTAAGCTGAACTCAAGAAATCCAGTGACAGAGAAGGAGGACTGATGAGCAAAGGGTTTAAGACTGGGCTGGTTTAACCCCCAGAAACAGCTAACCTGACAAAGGTTAGCTCTTGGATCCCAGGCTGATGCCTGGGAATCCAGCACGGGTCTGATGGAAAACCCCTGAATGTGGGTGTCAATGAGGAGGCCTAGGTAATCTATTGAGCCTTGGGCAGTAGATCACTATTTATTCTGGTTATGCAATTGGACTTTGGTCTCCCATCCAACAGTGTGAGATGCACTCTCACCCTGAAATCTTTGGGAGGGTCAAGGCCCTGCCCTGGATGAAATGACAGACTATGGACACCCCCATGGGGAAACCTCCCTGGGGAAATGGGGGGATATTGGAGGGGTTGGTGGGAGGGCACGGGAAGAGGGGAGGGAAATGGAGAGGGACCAGGAAATGGCATGTGAAGCAACCTTGTTTCTAATTTACATTTAAATTTAAAAATAAATAATAAAAAATTAAAAAAGAGAAAAAAATTCTTAGAAGAATATGTAGGGGTAAATTTCATGGCCATGGAGTTAGCAATGATGCCTTAAATATGACCCTAAAATTCGAATGACAAGAATAATATTGAATTTCACCAAAATTAAAAGCTTCTCTTCAGAGGATATGCTGCATACCAAATTGTTTGCCTCTCCCTACCCCCAAGTTCATATGAGGAAATCCCAGCTTCATACTAGCTCTAAAATTTAAATTAAACCATTAGAGTGGGTTCCAAACCAGGATGACTTGACTCCTTATATAGAGGGAAATTTGGATGCAGATATGTACAGATGGAATACAATGTGAGAGTATAGGTAGGAATCAGATATTCACAAGTTAAGGAGAGAGATAAAGAATAGATTCTCCCCTAGTGGCCTTCAGAAGATTCCATCATCCTATCAAAGGCCTGATGTTAGACTTATAGTTTCCAAAAGTTCAGGAGAACAAACTATTCTAAGTTGTTTCTGATGACTCTAGGAAATGAAAGCAGACAGAGTTAAGAGTCCAAGAAACTCCCCAAGCAATGTAGGCTATTGCTGTTGCCTTTGGTTGCTTCCCAGAACATAAAAGTAAGTCTCATTTTGCCCATTGTGATGCCCCAAAATTTGTCTTGACTAAAAGATGTGACTCTGCTTTATCCCTTGCAGGACCCTAATGCCAGCTGACCATTTATCTGAAGCATGCCTAGACATCCCAGCAAGATGGTCTTAGCATCCTGGTAAGCAGCACTGTTTGTTTTCAACTATCAGGTATAGCGATGTCTTCTGAAGGCCTGGGTTGATTTTGACAAACCAAAGTCACGAAGAGAGGTGATGACATAAAAATCATGCTCAATATGATTACGCTGAGGCCCAGCCTAAAAGACAGTGGAGAAATCAGGACCAAGTATAGTCAGACCTTTCCCATAGGCCAGTACACAGGGCCTCATTACCCCAGCAGTGTTTCCACGTTTGGGGAATCGTAGGAGGTCCAGGTTCTCTTCTTTAGGAGAGCACAGAGCCTGCCTCAGAAGGCACTTGTGGCACTCTACATGTATTAAGGCTGCCAGGCATCAACCCACTGTTCATGTCCATCTTTTCTTTTCTGCATTTCAGTGATCCAGGATGCTGACTTACTGCTCCAGTCATGAGACCTTCAGGTAAGTGGAAATATTAGCCTAAGGGCCTGGCTCTGTCCAGGTGCTTTGCCTTCAAAAACTGAAAAGCATGACCTTCAAGGATTCCTGTGACACTTGCAGCACAGAACTTGTGCTCTCCCTTCCTTTTGGGAATCCTTTTGTCCTAAGCCCATGAGACCAGGATGGCAATTCAAACTACCCTGCCTTTGTAGAATAGCAAACAGTAGATATTGAGAAACAGAGCAGAGACTGGACAGGGAGGTGGTTCATGGGCCCTGTAATGTGCACAGCTTAGTCATAGGCAAATACGAACTTTGGGGTGTCTATCTAACTCCCATTTTGATTGTTACTTCTGGGATAAGAGCTTCATGTTCTTGCTGTGTCAGGAGTTTGACATACTCCAAATTTTGAAAGATGGGAATCACGTACCATAAGCCCTTGAGACCAGGATGTTAAGTCAAACTGCTTTTCTTGTGGAATTCCAAATAGTAGGTATTGAGAAACAGAGCAGTGACTGGACTGGGAAGAGGGCCAAAATGTTTTGGTCAGGACTTTCAGGCATTCTCCGTTGCTCAGTCAGTGATAGGTGATTATTACCTTGAAATCTCTGCCTTGGGATGTCAATCTACCTCCCATGCTGACGTTACTGCCGGGGCAAGAGCTTCATGTTCTCACTGCATCAGGAGGGTGACATGCTCCAACCCTGAAAACATGGTGCTCAGAAGTGTTTTTTGTGCAGGCCATGGACTGCAAAGGGATAACTAGGTTACTTTTCTAGGGGTCAAAATGAGATAGAGACTCACATTTTTCTAGTGCACTAATGGACTTATTAGTCAGGCAAACTCAGATAACTTTTCCTGTTGTTAGGATTAGTGAACTTGTCCTGCCATGCAGGCAACAGGCAACATGAGGCAATTTGACAGCATGCATCTGGCAAGGCATTCCCCTCTTTGCCTATATGCACGGGCTCATCATCATGTGTAAAACAACTCACCACACATCAGTGGCACAGAATTTCAAACACATGAATGAATCCCAAGCTGCAAAGGCCTCCATCACTCATATGATAAGGAATGGGCCAAGGGAACAGGTGAAGAGACCCTAAGCAGGCAGTGCTTGTATAATTAATAACCTTGAAGGTACACATCCCACAATGGTAGTTAGGCAGAAATGTCACAGGGAAATGGTATAGAGCTGCACAAATATCAGCAGATGAGATTTCTTGGACCTTGTAAGAAACAGTGCATGATCATATGCTAAAATGTTTTCAGCAGACCTATAATAAGCCTTCCTAATGCTCCGACAGGTACTGCAATGGATGCCGGAAGTGAGGATGAGGGTGAAACAAGTGAAGGGTTAAAATTGTTTAGGTATGGCAAACAGGAAACAAAATATATATTTGTCATTATCTCCTCCATGGCATTGATTAGTAATTGTCCCCAGTTATGTAGATTGAGATTTGGGCATTAAGATATGCATGCAATTCTGCTGACACTGACTTACAATTATCAGCGTGCCAAAATTTTCCTTGACTAAAACAATTGATTCTGCTTGATCCCTTACAGGACTCTAATGCTGGCTGAATATTTGTCTGAAGCTCTCAGGGACATACCTGGTGGATAGTCTTTATCAGACTGGTAAGTAGCACTGTTTGTGTCCACTATCAGGTATAGCTACACATTCTGAGGACACAGGTCTATGATGACAAACCAATGTCAGGCAGAGAGGTGATGACATAAAAATCATGATTACACTGAGGCCCAGGCTAAGGGACAAGGTAGAAATGAAGGCCTAGTCTACTCAGGTCTTAATCATAAGCCAGTACACAGGCCCTCATTCACCCAGCAATGTTTCCCTCTCTGTGAAATCCTGTGAGGTACAGGTGCTCTTCTTTAGGAAAGGACTGAGCCTGCCTCAGAAGGCACTTGTTGGGGCAATCTATGTATGTCAATGGTGGCCGGCATCTGCATTCTGCTCATGTCCATCTCTTCTATCTGTATTTTCGTGATCAAGGATGCAAATTTGGTGCCCCAGTCATTTCAACTTCAGGTAAGTGGAATGATCAGGTTAAGTTCCTCAGTATCTTTTAGATCTCTGCCTTCAAATATTAGAAAGCATGACATTCTAGGAATCCAGTGACACTTAAGACACAAAACGTGTGCTCTCCCTTCCTTTTGGGAATCCCCTAGGCCTAAAATGATTAAAGGGTGCTATTTCAAACTACCTTGTCTTGTGGAATTCAAAGTAGTAGGTATTGGGAAACAGAGCAGTGACTGTTGGGGGAGGTGGGACACAAGGATTGTTTCAGGACATTCAGGCCCTGAACCTTGCACAGCTCAGTGATAGCTGAATGTGAACTTGAAATTCCTGCCTTGGGGTGTCTTTCTACCTCCCTTGCTGATTGCTACTGCAGGGGCAGGATCTTCATGTTCTTTCTGTGTCAGGAGGGTGACATGCTCCAAACTTGCAAAGGGGGGACTTGAGAATATCCACCTTGCAGGACATCAACTACAGGGAATTCAATTGGTTATTCCTCTGGGGCTCATAAAGCAGACCTGAGACTCACAAATTTCTAGTGCACTAATGAACATATCAGTTAGGCAAACTCAGATACCTTTTCCTTTTGTTAAGCTTAATGAAGTTGTTCTGCCATGCAGGCATCAGGACACATGAGAGAATTTGACAGGATGTATCTACCCTGTGATCCCCTTCTTTGCTTAGATGCATAGGCTCATCATCATGTGGAGACCCGTTCAAACACATGAGTGTCATGGAATTTCAACCACATAAATGGCATGCCAAGCAGCAAAGTCTTTCTTTGCTCATTTGATGAAGAATATGCCAAGAGAAAGTGTGTATGCATCCTAAGTCTGCTGTTTTTGGGAAATTAAGAACTTTGAGTGAATCCATCTTACTGTAGTTATTAGGCAATGATTTCAGAAGGAAATGGTATAGTGCTGTGCAAAGAACAGCAGATGACAGGTTGGACCTTATATGACACAGTGCATGATCAGATGCAAAAATGTTTCACCAGACCTAAAATATGCCTTCACAATGATCAGTCAGCTAATGCTATGAATTCAGGCAGTGTGGATGAAGTTGAAACAAGTGAAGGGTTAAACTTGTCTAGGGGTGACAAACAGGTAAACCAACATTTAAATTTTTCATTATCTCTTCCACGACTTTGATTACCAAATGCCCCCAATTATCATGCTCGATTGTTTGGACCTTCAGCAACTGGGAATTGCAATTCCTCTTACATGGATATGATATTTTGGCAATAGAAAATTATCTTTGAACAAGAGTACAGATTCTGCTTGATACCTTGCAGGAGCCTAATGCCACCTGACCATTTGTCTAAAGATCATGAAGACCTAAATCCTACATGGTATTTGTAATCCTAGTAAGCAGCACTATTTGTGTCCAACTATCAGGTATAGTTATGCCTTCTGAGGACCTGGGTCTTTAGTGGCAAAACAATGTTAAAAAGAGAAGTGATGATATAAAAACCATGATTTAAAGGATTATACTGAAGCCCAGGCTAAAGAACTGGGGAGAAATGGGGGCCTTGTCTGTGCAAGCAGTTCTCATAGGCCAGTACACAGACCCTCATTCAACAAGACATGTTTTCCTGTCTGGGGAAAACTGTGATGTCCAGGTGCTCTTCTTTATATGACCACTGAGCCTGCTTAAGAAGGCACTTGTTGGGGCGATCTATGTATGTCGATGCTGGCCTGCATCAGCCCTCTGCTCATGTCCATCTCTTCTCTTCTGCATTTCAGTGATCCAGGATGCAGACTTGGTGCCCCAATCATTTCACCTTCAGGTAAGTGGAAAGACCCGCTTAAGTGCCTCGGTCTCCTCTTTTGGATGTCTGCCTTCAAATATGACAAAGCATGACCTTCTAGGAATCAAGTGACACATGCAACACAAAACTTGTGATCTCTTTGCTTTTGGGAATCCTCTAGGCCTATTGCCATGAGAAAAGGATGGTATTTCAAACTGAATTTTCTTGTAGAATTCCAAATATTAGGTATTGGGAAACAGAGCAGTGACTGATCGGTGAAATGGGAGTCCAGGATTGGTTCAGGATGTACAGGTCCTGTCTCTTACACAGCGCAGTGATAGATAAATATGATCTTGAAATTCGTGGCTTGGGGTGTTTATCTATCTCCCATGCTGATGTTACTGCCACGGCAAAAACTTCATGTTCTTGCTTTGTCTGCAAAGGTGGCACTCATGAATTTCCACTATGCAGGCCGTAAACAGCAAGAGAACACTTGGTTACATTTCTTGGGCTCATAAAGCAAATGGAGACTCACAGTTTTCTAGTGCACAAACATAGATATCAGTTAGGAAAACTCAGATATCTTTTCATTTTGTTAGGATTAGTGAACTTGTCCTGCCATGCAGGTGTCAGGCCACATGAGGCAATTTGACAGGGTGCATCTGGCCAAGCATTCACCCCTTTGGCTAGATGCAGAGGCTCAGCATCATATGGAGACCCACTCACCACACATCAGTGGCATGGAATTTCAACCATATGCATGGCATCCCACGTTGCTATAGCTTCCATTGTATATGTGATAAGGAATGGACCAAGAGTACAAGTGTAGGTATCCTAAGCAAGCAGTGCTTGGGCAGTAAAGAACCTTGAGGATATGCATCTAACAATGGTGACTAGGCAGTGATTTCAGAGGGAAATGGGATAGTGCTGTGCAAAGAACAGCAAATGACAGGTTGTACCTTTTATGACACAGTGCATGATCAGAAGCTAAATTATTTTCACCAGACCTGTAATACGACTTCACAATGGTCTGTCAGCTAATGCTATGAATATGTGAAGTGAGGAAGAGGTTGAAACAAGTGAAGTGTTAAACTTCGCTATGGTTGGCAAACAGGAAAACACCATTAAATTTTCATTATCTCTTTCACGGCTTTGATTATCAAATGCCCCCAATTAGCATACTCGAGTATTTGGGTGTTCAGAAGAAGGGCATCACAATTCTGATGACACAGATATGACAATTTGGCACCCCAAAATTTTCCTTGACTTTGAGACCTGATCCTGCTTGATCCCATGCAGGAGCCAAATCCCAGGTGACCATTTGTCCAAAGGTTGCCGAGACTTACCTTCTAGATGGTCTTTGTCATCCTGGTAAGCAGCACTGTTTGTGACACACTATCAGGTATAGCTATGCCTTCTGTGTACCTGGGTCTATGATGGCAAGCCAATGTCATGAAGAGAGGTGATGACATAAAAATCATGCTCAATAGGATTACTCTGAGGCCCATGCTAAAGGACAGAGGAGAAATGGGTGCCTAGTCTAATCAGGCCATTCTCATAGGTGAGTACACAGGCCCTCATTCACGCATCAGTGTCTCCCTGTCTGGGGAATCCTGTGAGGTCCAGGTGCTCTTCTTTAGGAGGCCACTGAGCCTGCCTCAGAAGGCACTTGTTGGGAAAATATATGTATGTCAGTGCTGGCTGTCATCAGCATTCTGCTCATGTCTATCTCTTCTGTTCTGCATTTCAGTGATCCAGGATGCTTGGCTGGTCCCCAGACATTTCACCTTCAGGTAAGTGGAAAGACCAGCTTAAGTGCCTAAACCTCTTTTGGATATTTTCCTTCAAATATTAAAAAAGAATGACCTCTAGGAATCCAGTGACAGTTGCAGCACAGAACATGTGGTCATCCTTCATTTTAGGAATCCCCTAGGCCTATCCCCATGAGAAAAGGATGGCATCTTAAAATGCCTTTTCTTGTAGAATTCCAAACAGTAGGTATGGGGAAATAGAGCAATGACTGTTCAGGGAAATGGGACACCACATTTGGGTCAGGATATATAGGCCTTGTGCCTTTCACAGCTCAGATATAGTTAAATGTTATCTTGAAATTCCTGGCTTGGGGTGTCAATCTTGCTCCCATGCTGATTACTACAGCAGGGCAAAAAGACTTCTTGTTCTCACTGTGTCCTGATGGTGATATGCTCAAAATTGCAAAGATGGTGCGCAGGAATTTCCACTATGCAGGCTCTCAATGGCAGGGTGATCACAAGTTTGCTTTTCTCAGGCTCATAAAGCAAACGGATGCACACAGTATTCTAGTGCACAATATACATATCAGTTAGGCAAACTCACATAACTTTTCATTTGGTTAGGATTAGTGAACTTGACCTGCCTTGCAGGCATCAGGCTACATAAGGCAATTAGACAGGGTTCAACTGGCCTCGCATTCCACTTTTTGCCTAGAATCACAGGCTCATCATCATGTGGAGACCCACTCACAAATCAACAGTGGCATGGAATTTCAACCCCATGAATCACATCAAAATGTGCAAAGGCTTCCATTGCATATGTGATAAGGAACGGGCCAAGAGTACTGGTGTAGGTATCATAGGCAGGCAGTGCTTGTCAAATAAAGAACCTCGAGGTTACTCATCTTCAAATATTGATTGGGCAGTGATGTCAGAGGGAAATGGGATAGAGCTGTGCAAAGAACTGGAGATGAATGGTCTTGAACCTTGTAAGACACAGTGACTTCTCAGGAGCTAAAATATTTTCATCAGACCTATAATATTCCTTCCCAATGATCTGTCATCTAATGCTATGAATGCAGGCAGTGAAGATGAGGTTATAACATTAGAAGGGTTAAACTTGTATAGGGGTAGAAAACAGGTAACCACTATTAAAATTTTCATTAACTCTTTCACAGCTTTGATGAACAATTGCCCAAAACTATTGTGCTAGAGATTTTGGGTGTCCAAAGCTGGGCATTGCAGTTCGTCTGACAATCTCATGATTTTTTGGCACCGCATACGGTGCCTTGAATAAGGGAACTGATTCTGCTTGATTCCTTGCAGGAGCCTAATGTCGACTGAATATTTGTCCAAAGCTCGAGGAGAACTATCTTCTAGATGGGCTTTGTCGTCCTGGAAAGTAGCACTGTTTGTGACCCACGACCAGGTATAGCTATGCTTTCTGAGGACAAGGGTCTAGGAAGCCAAAACAATGTCAGGAAGAGAGGTGATGACATATAAATCATGCTCAATATAATTATTCTGATGTCCAGGCTAAAGGACAGAGGAGAAATGGGGTCCTAGTCTTCTCATAGGCCAGTACACAGGTCCTAATTTACCCAACAGTGTTTCCTTCTCTTGAGAATCCTGTGAAGTTGAGTTCCTCTTGTTTAGAGGAACACTGAGCCTGTATCAGAAGGGTCTTTTGGCACTGTACATGTGTCAAGATGCCAGGCATCAGCACTCTGCTCATGTCCATCTCTTCTCTTCTGTATTTCAGTGATCCCAGATGCCAACATGGTGCCCCATTCATGAGACCTTCAGGTAAGTGGAAAGATCAGCCTAAGTGCCTGGCTCTATCCTGGAGTTGTGCATTCAAAAATTGAAATGCATGACCATCCAGAAATACAGTGAAACTTGCAGCACTAAAACTGTGCTCTCCCTTCTTTTTGGTAATCACCTACCCATAAACCCATGAGACCAGGATGTTCATTTAAACTGCAATTCTTGTGCAATTCCAAATACTAGGTTTTGAGAAACAGAGCAGTGACTGGACTGGGAGGTGGGTCAAAATGCTTAGGTCAGTATGTTCAGGGCTTCTCACTTGCATAGCTCAGTGATAGGTTATTGTGATCTTGAAATAACAGACTTGGTGTGTCTGTCTAACTTCCATGCTGTATGTTACTGCGGGGGCCAGAGTTTCAAGTTCTTGCTGTGTCAGGAGTGTGACATGCTCCAAAATTGTGAACATGGCACTTAAGAATGTTTACCTTGTAGGCCCTCAAATGCAAGGAGATCATTTGGTTACTTCTCTGGGGCTCATAAGGCAGACAGACGTGCACAGTAATCTAGTGCACAGATGTACATATCAGTTAGACAAACACAGATACGTTTTCCTTTCCTTAGGGTTTATGAACTTGGCCTGCCATGCAAGCTTCAGCCTAATTGAGGCAATTAGATAGGGTTCATCTGGCCAGGCATTCCCTTCTTTGCCTAGATGAAAAGACGCATCACTATGTAGAGACACAATTACCACACATCACTGGCATGGAATTTCTAACACACGAATAACATCCTATGGTGCAAATGCTTCCATTGCAACTGTCATAAGAAATGGGCCAAGAGTACAGGTGTAGGTATCCTAGCAGGTGGTGATTGGCCAATAAAGAACCTTGAGGGTACGCATCTTACAATGGTGATTAGGCAGTGATGTCAGAGTGAAATGGGATAGATCTTTGCAAAGAACTGGACATGAATGGTTTTGGACTTTATAAGAAACATTGCCTGATCAGAATGTAAAATGTTTTCAGCAGACCTATTATATACCTTGTAAATGGTCTGTCAGCTAATGCTATGAATGCAGGCAGTGTGGATGAGGATGAAATATTTGAAGGGTTAAACTTGTCTACGGGTAGCAAACAGGTAAGAAGCATTGAAATATTTCATGATCTCTTCCATGACTTTAATTAACAATTACCTCCAACTTTCGTGTAGAGAGTTTGGGTGTTCAGAAGCTGGGCATTTCAATTCCTCTGACACTACATGACCTTTTGGTGATGCTAAATTTTCCTTGAATAAGAGAACTGATTCTGCTTGATCCAATGCAGGAGCCTAATGCCGGCTGACCATTTGTCCGAAGCTAGCCGAGACTTTCCTTCTAGATGGTCTTTGTCATCCTGGTAAGCAACACTGTTTGTGTCATACTATCAGGTATAGCTATGCCTTTCATAGGACTTGGGTCTATGATGACAAATAAATGTCATGAAGAGAGGTGGTGACATAAAAATCATGCTCAATATGATTACACTGAGGCCCAGGCTAAAGTACAGGGGGAGAATGGGGGCCTAGTCTACTCAGGCCATTCTCATAGGCCAGTGCACAGGCTCTCATTCACCCAGAAGTGGTTCCATGTCTGAGGAATCCTTTGAGGTCCACATGCTCTTCTATAGGAAAGCATGAGTCCTGCCTCAGAAAGCACTACTTGGGGCAATCCATGTATGTCAATGCTGGCTGCTCATGTCCATCTTTCTCTTTTGCATTTCAGTGATCCAATGTGCAGACTTGGTGCCCCAATAATTTCACCTTCAGGTAAGTGGAAAGATCAGCTTAAGTGCCAGGTCTGTTTTGGATAGCTGCCTTCAAACATTAGAAAGCATGACCTTCTAGGAATCCAGTGACATTTAAGCCATAGAACTTGGCCTCTCCCTTCCTTTTGGGAATCCCCTAGGCCTAAGACCATGATAAAAGGATAGTAATTCAAAGTTCCTTGTCTTTTAGAATTCCAAGTAGTAGGTATTGGGTAACTGAGCAGTGACTGTTCGAAGAGGTAGTTCACAAGGAATGGGTCATGACGTTCAGGCCATTTTCCTTGCACAGCTCATTGATAGGTGAATGTGTTCTTCAAATACCTTCCATACTGATTGTTACTGCTGGGACAAGAGCTTCATGTTCTCACTGTGTTAGGAAGTTTTCATGCTCCAAACTTGCATAGATGGTGCTCAGGAGTGTCCAGTGTGCAGGCCCGGGACTGCAGGGAGATCACTAGGTTACCTTTCTGGTGCTCAAAAGGGAGACAGAGACTCACAGTGTTCTAGTGGACTAATGTACATATCAGTTAGCCAAACTCAGATACCTTTTTTGGTTAGGATTAGTGAACTTGTCCTTCTATGCAGGCATTAGGTAACATGAGTAAATTTGACAGTGTGTATCTGGCCAGGCATTCCACTATTGCCTTGATGCACAGGCTCATCACCATGTGGAGACGCACTCACCACACATAAGTGGCATGAAATTTCAAAGACATGAATGACATCCCAAGCTATAAAGGCCTCCATCCTTCATGTGATAAGGAATTAGCCAAGAGAACAGGTGAAGGGATACAATGTATGCGGTGCTTGGGCAATTAAGAAACTAGAGGTTATGCATCCTACAATGGTGAGTAGTCAATGATGTCAGAGGGAAATGCAATAGTGCTGTGCAGAGCAGATGAGATGTCTTGAACCTTGAAAGACACAGTGCATTATCAGATGGTAAAATGTTTTCACCAGGCCTATAATATGCCTTTCCAATGGTCTGTTACCCAATGCAATGAAAGCCTGCAGTGAGGATGAGGGTGAAACATTTGAAGGGTTAAACTTGGCTAGGGGTGGCAAACAGGTAACCACAATTGAAAATTTATCATTATGTACCCCAAAGCACTGATTATCAATGCCCCTAATTATCATAATACAGAATTTGGGCATTAGAAACCTGGGCATTGAAATTCTGCTGACACTGACTTGCAACTTTAGGCACCCAAAATTTTCCTAGACTAAGACAACTCATTCTGCTTGATCCCTTGATGAAGTCTAATGCCAGCTTACCATTTGTTCAAAGCTCGCCAAGACCTACATGCTAGATGGTGTTTGTCATCCTGGGAATCTGCACTGCAAAGGCTTCCATTGCATATGAGATAAGGAATGGGCGAAGAGTACAGGTGTAGGTATCCTAAGCAGGCCATGAATGGGTAACAAAAAGCCTTGAGGTTATGCACCTTATAATGGTTATTAGGCAGTGATGTCAGAGGGAAATGGGATAGCGCTGTGCAAAGAACTGGAGATGAATGGTCTTGGACCTTGTAAGACACAGTGTATGATCAGATGCTATAATGTTTTCACCAGACCTAAAATATGCCTTCCCAATGGTCTGTCAGTTGCATGGAATTTCAAACACATGAATGACATCCCAAGCTGCAAAGGCATTTGATGCTCAGGTGATAAGGAATGTGCCAAGAAATCCTGTGTAGGGAATCTAGGCAGGTAGTGCTTGGGCAATTAAGAACATTGAGTGTAAGCATCATACTCTGCTTATTTGAAAGTGATTTCAGAGGGAGACTGTAAGGTGCTGTGCAAAGAACAGCAGATGACAACTCTTGAACCATGTATGACACAGTGCATGATCAGAAGCTAACATGTTTTCACAAGACCTATAATCTGTCTTGCCAATGGTCTGTCAGCTAATGCTATGAATGCAGGAAGTGAGGTTGAGGGTGAATCCACTGAAGGGTAAAACTTATGATTCTGCTTGATGCCATTCAGGAGCCTAATGCCTGCTGACCATTTGTCCAAAGCTTACCGAGACCTTCATGCTAGATGGTATTTGCCATTCTGTTAAGCATCACAGTTTGTGTCCCACTATCAAGTATAGCTCTGCCTTCTGAGGATCCAGGTCTATGATGGCAAACCAATGTCATGAAGAGAGGTAATGGCATATAAATCATGCTCAGTAGGGTTACGCTGAGGCCCAGGCTAAAGGTCAGGGAAGAAATGGGGCCCTAGTCTACTCAGACCATTCTCATAGGCCAGTGCACAGACCCTCATTCACCCAGCAGTGTTTCCCTCTCTGATGAATCCTGTGAGGTCCAGGTTCTCTTATTTAGGAGAGCATGAGTCCTGCCTCAGAAGACACTTGTTGTGTCACTTTACATGTGTCAAGTCTGCCAGGGTCCAGCACACTGCTCATGCTCTCCTCTTCTCTTCTGACTTTCAGTGATCCAGGATGCTGTCTTGGAATCCCATTCATGAGACCTTCAGGTAAGTGGAAATGTTAGTCCTAGAGCCTAGCTCTCTCTAGGTCCTTGGTCTTCACCTACTTAAATGAAACTCTCTTAGTGACCTCAGATCCATGGGCTCTTTATCATGTCAAGACTGGCTCACCACACATCTGTGGCATGGGATTTCATCTGTATGCATGCTATTCCAAGCTCAACAGATTTCCCTCACTACTGTGATAAGAAATACCCCCAGAGATCAGTGGCAGGCATCCAAAGCAGGCTGTACTTGTGTAAATAAGAACCTTGAGGGTATTCTTCCTATACTGATGATTTGTCATGGATTTTCAGAGGGAAATGTGATAGTGCCATGCAATGTGCAGCACATAACCAGTCTTGGTCCTTGTCAGGAGCAGTCAGGAGTCAGATGCTGAATTGTTTCAAGAGCCCTGTATCATGTCTTCCCAAGAGTCTGGCGTCTAATAATAGGAGGTTAAGCATATATCAACTGATGGCATGAAATCTTCTTGGGTCAGCAGACAAGGATCTACCACTTAAGGTTTTCATACCACCCATGTGCCACTGATTATCAAGTGCCCAAATTTTCCTGCTTGAGAGCATTGGGTGTTTAGACACTGCGCCTGTCGGGCTTCTTTGACCTTCACATGCCCTTTCTGTATCCCCAAATGTTGCCTTGATGAATTGAACTGATTCTGTTTCATCCCTTGCAGGAGGTTAAAGTGGGGTGACCTTTTATCTGCAGCTTGCTGAGGCCTACCCTCTAGGATGTGTTTTTGTCCCACTATCAGCTATAGCTGTGACCTCAGGTCTATGATGGCAAGCCAATGTCACAAAAAGAGGTGATGACATGAAATTCATGCTCAAGAGGATTATGCTGAGGCCCAGGCTAAAGGACAGGGTAGAAATTGGGGCCTAGTCTCCTCGGGCCTTTCTTCTAATTCAAAAAATCTCAATACCAAACCTCTGTGTCCTTATCTGGATTATGCTATGAGGTCCAGGTCAACATCTGTAGTAAAGCATAGATGCTCTATATCTCTACTCATGGTACCTTGTCTTATGGCCAACACACTGCTAATGTACCCATCTTCTCTGGGTCTTCCAGTGATCTACAATGATGAATTCAATTCCAAAACATCAGACCTTTCAAGAAAATGGAAACACCAGCCAAGGGCCTGGGTAAAAGTAAAGTTCCTGGTCCTTTACCTACTGAAATATCTGACAGTTTATGAATCTAATGATTTTTGCCCACAGCATCTGCTATGTGTTTCTTATTGGAATTCCCTAACCATTAGGGCTATATATCCACAATGGAAATCAAAATTGCCCTTCCTTGGAAAATTCCAGAGGACTTTGACATTAAAACCTGAGCAGTAACTGCATGTGAGGACCCAGGGAGTGGTGTCACAATCCTCAGTGTTTCGTGGTTCACAGCACAGGGATAGAGGAACTTTTTTCCATTTTTTTATTTTATTTAAATCAGAAACAAGCTTGACATATCAATCCCAGCTCTTTCATGCTCCCATCCTCCTCCCCCCCCACCAACGCACTAACCCCCGACATCATTCCCCCTCTGCTCCACAGGGAGGGTGAGGCCCTCCATGGGGAATATTCAAAGTCTGTCATATTATCCCAGGAAGGGTCTAGTCCCTCCACCATGAATCCATGCAGAGACAGCATCCCTCCATGTGGAGTGGGCTCCCAAAGTCCATTTGTATGCCAGGGTTAAATATTGGTCTACTATCCAAGGCCCCATAGATTGAGGAGGCCTCCTCACTAACACCCATGTTTAGGAGTTCTGGGTTGGCCCTATTCTGGGTCTCACAGCCACCAATCTAGGGTCCAAGGGTTGCCCCTTGTTCAGGTCAACTGCCTCTGTTGGTTTCACCAGTCAGGTCTTGACTTCTTTGCTCATCACTCCTCCCTCTTTGCAACTGGTTTCCAGGACCTCAGTTCAGTATTTAGCTGTGCGTGTCTGCTTCCATCAGCAACTGGATGGCAGCTCTAGGATGGCATATATGGTAGTCATCAATCTCATTATTGGGGAAGGGCATTTAAGTTAGCATCTCCATTATTGGTTAGTTTGCCAGTTGGTGTCATCCTTGTAGATCTCTGAAAATATCCATAGTGCCGGATTTCTTCTCAAACCTGTAGTAGCTCCTTGAGTCAAACTTCCTGCTCTCCAATATCCTACTCATCTCTCCTTTTCTCCCCCTCTCTTTCACCAAGTTTTCTCTCAGGAAATCCCATCCCATTCCTCTTCTCTGGGGTACCATGCATATCTCTCTTAGGGTCCTCCCTATTTCCCAGACCCTCTGGCTCTGGGGTTGTAGGCTGGCAATCACCTGCTCCATATCTAAAATCTATATATGAGTAAGTACATACCATGTTTCTCTTTTTGTGACTGGGTTACCTCACTCAGGATGGTTTTTTCTAGTACCATCCATTTACCTGCAAAGTTCAAGATTCCATTCTTTTTTTCTGCTGAATAGTACTCCATTGTGGAAATGTACCACATTTTCTCTATTTACTCTTCAGTTGAGGGGCATCTGGGTTGCTTCCAGGTTCTGGCTAATACAAATAATACTGCTATGAACATTGCTGAAAAAAAATGTCCTTATTCTATGAATGTGCATAGTTTAGGTATATGCCTAAGAATGGAATTGCTGGGTATTGTGGTAGGCTGAATTCCATTTTCCCAAAGAATCTCCATACTGATCTCCAAAGTGGCTGTATATGTTGGCACTCCCACCATCAGTGAAGTAGTGTGCCCCTTTCTCCATGTCCTCTCCAGCATAAACTGTCATTGGTGTTTTTTTATTTTAGTCATTCTGACAGGAGTGAGATGGTATCTCAAAGTTGTTTTGATTTGCATTTCCCTGATGTCTAAGGATTTTGAGCACTTTCTTAAGTGTCTCTCATCCATTTTAGACTCCTCTATTGAGAATTCTCTAGTTAGTTCTGTACCCCAACTTTTCAATTGGATCCTTTGGTATTTTGGAGACTTGCTCCTTGAGTTCTTTGCCAATTTTGGAGATAAGCCCTCTGTCAGTTTCTGGGGTGGTGAATATCTTTTCCCTTTCTGTGGGCTGTCATTGTGTCATGTTGACTATGTCCCTTTTGCCTTACAGAAGCTTCTCAGTCTCAGAAGGTCTCATTATTGTCTATTCAGTGTCTGTACTACTAGTGTTATGTTCATGAAGCAGTCTCCTGTACCAATTTGTTCAAGGGTACTTCCTTCTAAGTACCTTCTAAGGGTACTTTCTCTTCTAAGAGGTTTAGTGTGGCTGGATTTATGTTGAGGTCTTTGATCCATTTGGTCTTAAGTTTTGAGCATGATACAGATATGGATCTATCTGCAGTCTTCTACATGCCAGCATCCAGTTATGCCAACACCATTTGTTGAAGATTTTTTTATTTCCATTGCATAGTTTTAGCTTCTTTGTAAAAGATCAAGAGTATAGGTGTGTGGGTTAATATCAGGGTCTTCAATTCAATTCCATTGGTTTACTTGTTTATTTTTGTGCCAGTACCAAGCTGTTTTCATGACTATATCTCTATCGAAGTCAGGGATGGTGATGCCCCCTAAAGTTCCTTTATTGTATAGGGTTGTTTTAGCTATCCTGGGTCTTTTGTTTTTCCATATAAAGTTGAGAATTGTCCTTCCAAGTTCTGTAAAGAATTGTGCTGGAATTTTGATAGGGATTGCATTGAATCTGTAGATAGCTTTTGGTAAGATTGCCATTTTTACTATATTGATCCTGCCTATCCAAGAGCATGGGAGATCTTTCCATTTTCTGTTATCTACTTTAATTCCTTTCTTTAAAGATTCATACAGATCTTTCACCTGTTTGCTTAGAGTTACCCCAAGATATTTTATGTTGTTTGTGGCTATTGAAAAGTGTGATATTTCTCTGATTTCTTTCTCAGCACATTTATTGTCTATATTTAATAAGGCTACTGGTTTTTTAGTTAATCTTGTATCCTGCCACTTTGCTAAAGGTGTTTATCAGCTGTAGAAGTTCCCTGATAGAATTCTTTGGGTTAGTTACATAGACTGTCATATAATCAGCAAATAGTGAAAGTTTGACTTCTTCCTTTCCACTTTGAATCCTCTTGATCTCCTTTTGTTGTCTTATTGCTCTAGCAAGAACTTCAAGTACAATGTTGAAGAGGTACGGAGAGAGTGGACAGCCTTATCTTGTTCCTGATTTTAGAGGAATTGCCTTGAGTTTCTCTCCATTTACTTTGATGTTGGCTGTTGGTTTGTTGCATGTTGTCTTTATTATGTTTAGATAGATGGAGGAACTTGAACTTTACTTCCACGCCTGTTTTTACCTTCTGTTTTCTGTCCTCATTGGGAATTGCAGTAAAAGAGCTTCTATTTTGCTTTGGGGCTTTATGGTTAAATGCTACAATCTTGCCAAAATGGCCTTCAGAAGTGTCTGATGTGCAGGCACTAGACTCCATGGTGATCCACAGGACACTGCTAGTGTTAATTGGGCATAGAAACACCTTGAATGTTCTAGGGCTTAAGGGACACTGACGTCAAGGCATTCTTAACTGTATATTCTTCTGCTGTGATGTAGTAATCTTGTCTCCCCTCCCACAATCAAATAAAATGAGTCAATTTGGGAGGATGTGTCAGGCCTGGGAGCCATGAACTCAGCATTATTTCAAGATATTCTCAACAGATGGCAGTGGGATTTTACTTCAGCTCCATGTGTATGCTACAAAGTTTGAATGGATTTCCTTCACTAGTCTAATAAAGTGTGTTTCCAGAGACTGAGAGGATAAATTCAACACAGGTTGTGGATGTATAAGCAATATTCCCTCATTTCCCCAGGGAGGGTGATGCCCTCCACGGGGGTGTCCATAGTCTGTCATTTCATCCAGGGCAGGGCCTCGACCCTCCCCCAAGATTTCATGGTGAGAGTGCATCTCTCATTGTTGGATGGGAGTCCAAAGTCCATTTGTATACCCGGGATAAACACTGATCAACTACCCAAGGATCAATAGATTATCTAGTCCTCCTCCCTGACACCCACATTCAGGGGGTCTTGATCAGTCTCATGCTGGATTCCCAGGCATCAGACTGGGAATCAAGAGCTAACGCTTGTCAGGTCAGCTGTTTCTGGGGGTTAAACCAGCCCAGTCATAATGCCTTTGATCATCAGTCTCCCTCTCTGTCACTGGATTTCTTGAGTTCAGATCAGTGTTTAGCCATGGGAGTCTGCCTCTTCTTCCATCGGCCACTGAAAGAAGGATCTGTTTCCCAGACTCACTGGCCATGGGATTGTAGGCTGGCACTCCCCAGATCAATGTCTAAAATCCATATATGAGGGAGTACATGACTCTCTTTTTGAGACTGGGTTACCTAGTTCTTTGTAAATTTGGAGATCAGCCCTCTGTCAGATGTGGGGTTAATGAATATTTTTCCCATTCTGTGGGCTGCCTTTTTGTCTTGCTGACTGTGTCCTTTGCCTTACAGAAACTTCTCAGTTTCAGGAAATCCCATTTACTAATTGTTGATCTCAAAGTCTGTGGTACTGGTGTTATGTTCAGGAAGCTGTCTCCTGTACCAATTCATTCAAGAGTACCACCCACTTTCTCTTCTGAGAGGTTCAGTGTGTCTGGATTTAAGTTGAGGTCTTTGATCCATTTGGACTTAAGTTTTGTGCATAGCGATAGACATGGTTTGATACGCATTGTTCTACATGCCATCATCCAGTTATTTCAGCACCATTTGTTGAAGATGCTTTCTTTTTTCCATTGCATATTTTTAGCTTTTTTTCAAAGATCAGATGTTCATACATGTGTGGGTTAATATCAGGGTTTTCAATTTGATTCCATAGGTTTACCAGTCTATTTTTATGCCAACACCAAGCTGTTTTCAGGACTACAGCTCTACAATAGAGATGAGGTTGGGGATGGAGATTTCTCCAGATGTTGCATTGTTGAGTAAGGTTATTTTGCCTATCCTGGGTCTTTTGTTTTTCCATACAAAATTGATTATTGTTCTTTCCCAGTCTATGAAGAATTGTGCTGGTATTTTAATGGGGATGCATTGAATCCGTAGATTGCTTTTGGCAGGATTGCCATTTTTACTACATTGATCCTACCTATCCAAGAGCATGGGAGATCTTTCCATTTTCTGAGAGCTTCTTTAATTTCTTTCATTAAAGACTCAAAGTTCTTGTGATACATGTCTTTCACTTGTTTAGTTAGCGTTACCCCAAGGTATTTTATATTGTTTGTGGCAATTGTAAAGGGAGATGTTTCTCTGATTTCTTTCTCAGCCCTTTTATCATCTGTATATACTAGGGCAACTGATTGTCTTGAGTTGATCTTATAGCCTGCTACTTTGCTGAAGGTGTTAATCAGCTGTAAGAGTCCCCTAGTAGAGTTCTTTGGGTCATTTAGGTAAACTATCATATCATCTGCAAATAATAGAAGTTTGACCTCTTCCTTTCCAATTTATATCCCCTTGATATCCTTTTGTTGCAATATGGCTCTGGCTACAACTTCAAGTACAGTGTTGAAAAGGTATGGAGACAGTGCATAGCCTTATCTTGTTTCTGATTTTAGAGGAATTGCATTGGATTTCTGTCTGTTTAGTTTGAGGATGGCTGTTGGTTTGCTGTATATAGCTTTTACTATGTTTAAGTATGTTCCTGTTATCCCAGATCTCTCCAAGACCTTTATCATGAAGGGGTGTTGGAATTTGTCAAAGCTTTTTCAGCATCTAGTGACATAATCATGTGATTTTGGTTTTTCAGCTTGTTTATATGTTGGATTACATTGATGGATTTTCATATGTTGAACCATCCCTGCATCCATGGGATGAAACCTACTTGATCATGGTGAATGATTGTTTTGATGTGTTCTTGGATCTGATTTGCTAGTATTTATTAAGTATTTTTGCATCAATGTTCATGAACTTCCCCCGTAGCACTGCTTTCAGAGTGTCCCATAGGTTTGGGTATGTTGTGTCTTCATTCTCATTGAATTTTAGGAAGTCTTTCAATTCTTTTTTATTTCTTCTTTGACCCAGGAATGGTGCAGTTGTGCATTACTCAATTTCCATGATTTTGTAGGTTTTCTGCAATTTGTGTTGTTGTTGAATTCTAATTTTAACATATGGTAGTCTGAAAAGATGCATGGGGTTATTCCAATTCTTTGTAGCTGCTGAGGTTTGATATGTTGCCAAGTATGTGGTCGATTTTTGAAAAGGTTCCATATGGTGGTGAGAAGAATGTATATTCTTTTTCATGTGGATGAAATGTTCTATAGATGTCTGTTAATCCCAGTTCGGTCATTACTTCTATTAGACCCTTTGCTTCTTTGTTGAGTTTCTGTCTGGTATTCCTGTCTAGTGGTGAGAGTGGGGTGTTGAAATCTCCCACTGTTAGTATGTGGGGCTTTATATGTGATGTAAGTTTTAGTAATGTTTCTTTTTATGAATGTGGATGACTTTGTATTTGGGGCATAGATGTGGTGGATTTCTACTGTGATGAGTATGCAATGACCTCCTTCATCTCTTTTGATTGATTTTATTTTAAAGTCCAATTTGTTAGATATTAGGATTGCTACCCCTGCTTGTTTCTTGGGTCCCTTTGATTGGAAAATCTTTTCCCAACATTTAACTCTCAGGTAATGTCTGTCTTTGAGGGTGAGGTGTGTTTCTTGTATGCAGCAGAAAGATGGGTTCTGTCTTCAAATCCATTCTGTTAGCCTGTGTCTTTTTATGGGTGAGTTAAGGCCACTAATGTTGAGGGATATTAATGACGACCATTGATTGCTCATTCTTCTTTGATTTGGAATGGTTGGTGGTGGTGGAATTATGTGTGGAATTCCACCCCTTTGTTCTTTTGGCTGTTGGTAAAGTGGGATTATCTAATGCCTATATTTTTCTGGTTGTAGTTAACTTCCTTAGGTTGGAGTTTTTCTTCCAGAACTTACTGTAGAGCTGGGTTTGTGGATACATATTGCTTGAATCTAGTTTTGTCATGGAATATCTTGTTTTCTCCATCTATAGTGATTGAGAGCTTTGCCGGGTATAGTAGTCTTGGCTGGCATCCATGGTCTCTTAGTGTTGGTAGAATATCTATCCAGGACCTTGTGGCTTTCAGAGTTTCCATGGAGAAGTCCAGTGTAATTCTGATAGGTTTGCCTTTATATGTTACTTGGCCTTTTTCCTTAGCTGCTCTTAATATTCTATCTCTATTCTGTATTTTTGGGGTCTTGATTATTATGTGGCAAGTGTACTTTTTCTGTATTCCACTCTATTTGGTGTTCCGTAAACTTCTTGTACCTTTTATTTGCATGTCTTTCTTTAGGATGGGAAAGTTTTCTTCTATGATTTTGTTGAATATGTTTTCTGCCCCTTTGAGGTGGTTTTCTTCACCTTCTTCTATACCTAGGATTCTTAGGTTTAGTCTGTTCATGGTGTCCCATATTTTCTGGATTTTTTGTGTTAAGGATTTGTTGGACTTAAGGTTTTCTTTGGTTGATAAATCCATTTCTCCTAGTGTATCTTCAACACCTGAGATTCTCTCTTCCATCTCTTGTATTCTGTTGGTAATGCTTGTATTGGTAGTACCTGACTGTTTGCCCAGCTTTTCTATTTCCAGCCTCTCTTCAGATTGTGTTTTTTATTGTCTGTATTTTAGTTTTCAACCCTTGCACTTTTTGAATTGTTTCCTTGCAATTTTCGGTTTATCTTTTCATACATTTTTTTGCCTTTTATGAATTTTTTGGTTTGTTCTTTCTTCCATTTCTTGCATTTTTTTTGGTTTGCTTTTTCTTCCCTTTATTGTATTTTTTTTGGTTTGTTTTTTTTTCCATTTCTTTGAGGGATTTTCCTATATCCTCTTTTAGGGCCTCTATCATTTTCATGAAAGTGGTTTTAAGGTCATTCTCTTCTTCTTCATTTGCATTGTAATTGTGGGGTTTTGCTGGTTTGGAGTTTCTCGAATCTGGCGGTGTCATATTTGTTTTTCTGCTGCTGAGTGTGTTTTTGTATTGTCTCTTTTCCATATCTTCTTCTAGTGGGTGCAGAAAGAGCCCCTTCCTGGTCTGGTGGTTAGGGGACCAGAGTTTCCTTTCGGTGGGTGCTAGCAAGTCCAATAATCTGGTAGTTTTGCTATTCCTCGTCCTAGCCCTGGTCCTGTGGGTGGGGAAGAAGACCAGGAATCTGGGGTGCTTAGCCTCCCACATGGTCTCCTGTTCCCGTTGCTGGAAGAGAAGACTTGGGATCTAGGGTGCTCCCACAGGGATATGAAGCTCTACTGCCATCCCCAGTCACTGGAAGGCACACCGGGATGCAGGCATCCATTGGATATTTAAGTGCCTGACTTATTGTGCTCTAGGGCATTAGCCAATCAGCCATTGGTCACATCCCTCCTTGTGACTTTCTTTTGTGCCTATTAACAGAACCTCACCTTTGAGCCCTGTGTACCTTTCTATGGAATCTTATATAGTCAGATAATGCTGAAATATTAAGCTACCCAAAATAAGGATGTCCTATGGTATTTTATTGAGGGAGAAATCACTTACTCAATAAGCCAAGAAATCTGAGAACTGAAGATCTGCAAGCTGCTCTCCAGGCTGCAACCAGAACCCAATGAGGAAGCATCTCCTCCCCATAGCTCTTTTATCCCCTTTACATTCTACATACCTGTGACCACACTCAAATGGACAAGGTCAGCACTATGGGTACATAGAACTCTCCCTACACACATCTGTAGGAGAGCACTGAGTGCCTCCTCAGAAGACACCATACCATGTCTCTAGTGGTCAACACACTGCTCATGTCCCCATCTTCTGTGCTGTCTTTCAGTGATCTGGGATGCCCTCTTAGATCCAAGAGCATCAGACCTTTCAGGTAAGTGGAAAGATCAGTCCAAGAGCATTTGTATCTAAATGTCCTGGTCCTTCACCTAAAATAACTGACAGTCTGTGAACCTAATGAGGTTAGAAGCACAGCATCCATGCTCTAGGCTACTTATGGGACTCTGTTACCTCTTAGGACTGTTTCCCGAATGGCAATCCAAATGCTCTGCCTTGAAAAATTCCAAAGTATTTAGACATGAGAAACTGAGCAGGAACGGCATGGGAAGACCCAGGGAGTAGTGTCATCATGATCAATTCTTCAGTGGTTTACAACGCAGGGATAGAGGAAATTAAACTTTACCTTCTGCCTCCCATCCTGATTAGCATTGGCAGGGCAGGATCTTCCAATTTGCTCTTGGATATAGATTTTAAAGCTACAGCATTGCTAATATGACTTTCTGTAATGGCTATTTGTTGGCTCTAGACTCCATCAGTTCCCTAGTTATTTATAGGAATACCTCTAATGTTTGAATATTGGACAATGGCACCAAAGTTTTTCCTATTGTAATTCCTTCCCCTGGGACTTAATGATATTTATCTGTCTTCCAACCATCAGGCAACACAAGCCAATTCACTAGAGTATATCAGGGAAGGCATTGTCTATCTGGCCCCAGAGCCATGAACTCTGCATCATTTCAAGACCTTCTCTACAGACAGTAGTGGGATTGTATTTCAGCTCCATGTTATCCTACATAGCTGTGACAGAGTTCCTTGACTAATCTGATGAGGAATGTCCCTAGGAACATAGAGCAGGCATCCAACACAGGCTATGGAGGTACAAATACCAACCTTGAGAGAATGGATCCTTCCTTACCTATTTTGTCTCTGGTGCTCAGAAGCTAACCAGATAGTGATGGACCATGAATAGCTGATGACCTGTCTTCGACATTATCAAGGCCAGTGCTGGGATCACATTATGCAAAGAGTTCACAAGGCCCAATATTGTCTTGACAGCTGTCAGCAGTGCAGTGTAATGCTAACAGCCAAAGCAGTGAGGGCAAGTGTGGTTCTACTGAACCACAGAACTTATCATGAGCAGCTAGAAAAGCTACCTATCACTTATGGTGTTCTAGGCCTTTCTGTACTGAGGCCCAAACTACATGACAGGTGAAACAGGGGATGGTCTCTCCTTGTTGCTTTCTTGAGTTCCAGTTTACAGGATCTTATTCCCCAAGCCTTGCTTCCTCGTCTGGGGAATCCTATACTGCCCAGGTGCACATCTGTAAGAGAACCTTTTGTGATACTTTACTCTTGTGCAAGTCTCTAATGGCCAACACACTGCCCATGTCCCTGTCTTCTCTGTGTCTTTCAGTGATCTAAGATGCTGTTCTGGAACCCACACCCTCAGATCTTTAAGGTAAGTGGAAAAATCAGCCTGAATTTTGGATCTGTGACTTCATCATTTAGAAATTCTGACAGTCTATGAATATAACGACTTTAGAAGCACAGTATTTATATTCTTGGCTGTTTCTTGAAATCTTCTATCACTTAGTCCTATGTGTCCAGAATGGCAATCTAATTTGCCCTCTCTTGGAACCTTCTAGAAGACTTGGGCATGAGCCACTGATGAAGGACAGCATGGTAGGACTCATAGGTGGAGTCTCAATTTTAAGTCCTGCTCTTGTTCACACTATGGGGATAGAGGAACTTAAAATTTCCTTCCATGCCTGGTTTTTACCTTTTGTCTCCCATCCTCCTTGGGATTGACATGGCCAGAATTTCAAGTATTATTGCTCGGCATAAACTTACAGCTCATATCTACCTCAGATTATTGACTTGCCAGTGAGAACCTTGAGAGAAAGATTCCTTCTTAAGGGATTTCTGAGGCATTCAGAGGTTGGTAAGATCAGGCTGTGCCATTGAATGCTGATGATAAGTTTCTGTCCTTTTGAAGCCCATTCTGGGTTCATAAGGTGATATGGGCTCTCAAGTCACTGGGTAGGGTACATGCAAATGTCAGCAGGAAAAGGTTGACAGTGATAACAGCAAGGGGAAGGGTGATTTGACTGGCTCTTTGCATTTATTTTGCCCAGTCTAATAATCTAACCATCAATTACTGTATGTTTGTTCTTGTGCTATTTATTATTCAGATGACAGAGGTGTTATCCTACACTGAATTTTGCCTTTCGGCCACTGGTCAAATTTCTATGAGCTTTCCTTTTTATAAAAGTAAAGTCAAACTAGTGCCTTGACAACATGCTCATTTTTGTAGCCAAACTGCAGAACTACCAAATGAGAAAACTGGTTCTCCTTGGCACCTTGAAGGAGTTTTTTTCCCAGCTTATCTTTTTTCTTAAACATGTCAAGGTCTACCTGCAAGGCAGTGTTTGCAGGCCTAGTAAGAAATGCTGTTTGAGGATAAAAAGCAGGTGTAATTTTCTGTGTCCAGGCGTTTGTCACTGATGTCATACAAACATGGGAAGAGGTGATAATATAAAATTCATGATCACACTGGGGCCTTAACAACAGGAAAGGAAAGAACATGGTGTTGCCTTCTCGGGCCCTTTTAGCATTTGGTGAATCCTGTACTGTACAGGAACACATTTGTTGGCAGGCACTGGGATTTCCTTCAACAACCATCTTGTCTTTCTTTCTACGGTTGTGCATGCTTCAAATGTTCATCCCATGACCTTGTGTCCTTTCTTGTCTTTTCCTTTCTCTCATTTCTTTCCTTTTTTACATGAATCTTTGAATTTTAATTATATTTTTATCATTTACTTATATATATGTATTGGAAATGGATTCTTCTCTCATACAATCAATCCTGCCCACAGTTTTCCATCTCTCCTCTCTGCCATCTATACCCTACTTCCCATTTGCCTTGGATCCCTCAAAAAAGGATCAGCATTCAAGAGACAACATCCAAACAGCAAAGCAAAATTGAATAAGACAATGAAAAAAGCCTGCACAGAAGCTTGGCATGGCAACCCAACAGGATGAAAAGCATCAGTGATATGCCCACTTAGTCAGTTAGGAGTCCTACAAAACCCCCAAACTAACAGCCACAATATATAAGCAGAGGACTTTGTGCAGAAACATGCTATCCCCATGCTTGGAACCTCAGTCTCTGTAAGTCCATATGCACCCTGAATAGTTGATTCAGTCAGTAGTCTTCACCTGGTACCCTTATTCCCTCTGACTCCTAAAATCCTTCCACTTCCTCTTTCATAGGATTCCCTGAGCTGTGAGAAGAGAGGCCCAATGGAGACTTCCAATTTAGACTCTCTCTACATAACATCAGGCTGTGTGTCTCTGAATCTTCTCCCATCTGCTACTGGAGGAAGTCTCTCTGATGACAACTTGACATGGCTGTGATCTAAAAGTATAGCAGAATAACTAGAAATTATTTCATTGATTTTTTACACCAGTCATGTTTGGTTTGACCCTATGTCTCTGGGATATTCATTCACCTATTCTTGGTCACCTAAGAGGTGTTGGGCATAATCTACCCACTTCTACAAGTCATGCACCACATTTTCCCCAGCAAGTCAGGACAGATTGTAGGTCAGAGGTCTTGTGACTGTGTTGTGTCAATGTTTCTCTTCTAATATTGTGTGGAGATCTTTCCCACACCAAGGGAATAGACCACAGAGTGAAAGATCCATTCAGACACTGGATCAGCCTCTCAACATTCAGTGAGCTATCTGGAATTTGTTGTTAAAAATGGGGCCCTGCCATCAGTTTGCATAAAGCATCCTTCTGTCCTAACATCAGCTCAGGTTGTTTGGAAATCTCCACTGGACCCCCTCAGTCAAGAACTTAAATAAATGCAACCCAGTCCTATCACTGGGAGCCTTGCCTGACTACAAGAGATAGTCATATTAGACTCCTTATTCACCTTTACTAGGAGTTGTCATTAGGCTCACCCTCAATGATTTCAGAAAGTTCCACTGTACTAGATTTGCACACAGCTTCCCAATGCCCCTCAATCCATGCCCCAGTGCTCAGCCAGCTCCCCCACACTCTCTCCCTCCATCCCATCTCCCCACCACCACCTATCTCCCTATGATTCCCATTCCTTATCCCCATTTATCCTGAGTATATCCACAAAATCTATTCTATTTCCCCTTTCCAAGGTGATCCATGCATCCCCATAGACTGCCCCTCTATACCTAACCTTTCTAGGTCTATGGATTTTACCTTGGTTATCACTTACTTAATGGCTAATATCCATTTATAAGTGAATACATACCACTTTTGTCTTTCTGGGACTTGGTTGGTTACCTCACTCAGGAAGATTTTTTTCTAGTTCCATCCATTAGCCTGATGATGTCAGTTATTTAATAGCTGAGTAATACTCCACTTTATCTATCCATTCTTCAATTGAGGAACATTTAAGTTGTTCTCAGGTTTTGGCTAATCTGAATAATGCTGCAATGAACATAGTTAAGCAAGTGTCCTTATGGTAGCATGGAATGGCTGTTGTGTATATGCTCAAGAGTTAGATCAGTTCCCAATTTTGCGAAGAACTGCCATATTTATTTCCAGAGTGGCATGCCCACCAGCAATGAAGAAGTGTAATCCTTTACCTTCATCCTCACCATTATGAGCTGTCACTTGTGTTGTTGATCTTAGCCATTCTGACAGGGGTAATATAGGCATCAGATTTGCATTTCCTTTAATGGTAAAGATGTTTAAAGTTTAAAGTGTTTTTCAGCCATTTGAAAGTCCTCAATTGAGAATTCTCTGTTTAGAACTGTTTCCCATTTTTAATTGGAGCATTTGAGTTTTTGCTATTTAGTTCCTGGGTACTTTATATATTTTGGATATTAGCCATCTATCAGTTGCAGGTCAATAACAAGCTTTTCACATTGTGCAGGTCACTGCAACGTCAGAATAATGGTGTACTTTGCTGCTCTGTTTCATTAAGTCCTAAAAATTGACTGTTGATCTTAGTGTCTGTGCTATCAGTGTTTGGTTCAGAAAATCCTATCCTGTGCCAATGCTTTTGAGACTAATTCCCACTTTCTCTTCTATCAGGTTCAGTGCATCCAGTTTTATGTTGAGGTCCTTGATCCATTTTGACTTGAGTTTTGTACAGAGTGGTAAATGTGGATCTATTTGAATTCTTCTACAAGTCTACATTCAGTTTGGCAAGCACCATTTGTTGAAGATGCTTTCTTTTTCTAACTGTGTGTTTCTAACCTTTTCAAAAATGAAAAATCAGGTGTCTGTAGGCATGTGGACTTGTATCTGGGTTTTCAGTTTGATTCCATTGACCAACATGTCTGCTTTTTATGTAAATACTATGTAGTTTTGTTACTATAGCTTGATAGTACAACTTGCAATCAGGGATAGTGACACCTTGAGCAGTTTTTTATTACTTAGAATTACTTTAGTTATCTTGAGTTTCTTTTTTGTTTTTTATTTGTTTGTTTTTCCATGTGACATTGAGAATATAATCCTTTTGAGAGTTATCAACAAGATATTTTATATTATTTGGGGCTACGGTTAATGGTGTAGTTTTCTTGATATTCTTCATTCCATTTGACATCTGTACATAAGAGAGCTACTGATTTTTTTATTCTGCAGGGCTGACAGATGGGCCTCCTATTTCTTAATTAATTTATTTTTTATATTCCAATCCCAGTTCCCCATCCATCCTTTCCCCCATTCTCCCCACTCTCCCCGACCCCACCTCCCATCTTTTCCTTGAAGAGGGCAAGGCCTTCCCTAGGAAGTCTACTAACTGCTGTGGAAAACAGTATGGCAATTTCTCAGAAAATTAAGAATCAATCTACCTCAAGACCCTACAATAGCACTTTTGGGCATATACCCAATGAAGGCACATTCACACCAGAAGGACATTTGCTCAACTATATTCATAGCAAAATTACACATAATAGCCAAATCTTGGAAATACCTAGATGCCCCTCAACTAAATGATGGATAGAGAAACTCTAGTATATTTACCCAATGGAGTACTACTCAGTTATAAGAGACAACAATGTCCTAAAATTCACAGGCAAATGTACAAAACTAGAAGAAACATCATCCTGAGTGAGGGAACCCAAAATCAGAAAGACAACTGTAGTAGTAATCACCCATAAGACATCATGCAAAAGACACTCAGCCTATAATTCACAACTCCAGAGAAGCTAGAACCCTCTTTCAGAACCATATGGAAGCAGATGCTGAAATCCACAACTAACCATTAGACCAAACTCCTTAAGTACAATCAAAGTGAAGGAGCAGCAATAATATTAACAAAGTAGTTAAGACCATGATGGGGAAACTCATGGAGACAGCTGACCCGAGCTAGTGAGAGATCACTGACTTTGGTCTGACAAATGGGGAACCTGCATAAGACCTAACTAGACTCCCTTAATATAAGTAAAAATGGTGCAGCTGGAACAATATATAGTTATTTTTAATTAATCTTGCATCTAGCCAATTTGCTGAAAGTGTTTCTCAGCTGTAGGAGTTCCCTAGTAGAATTTTAAGTTTGCTTATATATTCTATTATATCATCTATGAAATAATGATATTTTGACTTCATTCTTTCCAATTCATATCCCCGTGGTCTCCTTCAGTTGTTTTTTCAGTCTAGCTACTACTGCAAGTACAATTTTGAATAGAGATGGTGAGAGTAGACAGCCTTGTCTTGTATTTGATTTTAATAAAATCTCTTTGAGTTTCTCTCCATTTAATTTGGTGTTGGCTATAGGCTTGCTGTAAATTGCCTTTATTATATTTAGGTATGTTTCTTGCATCCCTCATCTCTTCAAAACTTTTATCATGAAGGGCTGTTAGATTTTTGTCAAAGGCTCTTTCAGTATCTAATGAAATGATCACATGCTTTTTTCTTTCAGTTTATTTACATGGTAGATAAATATTAAATTTGGCTGTATACTGTAATTTCATGTCTTCAACAATGGCGATTGAAAGGTGCTGGATATAGTAACCTTTGCTGGAATCTGTGATATCTTAGAGTCTGCCACACAGCTACCCAGGCCTTTCTGTCTTTTAGCGTCTCCTTTGAGCAGGCAGGGGTAATTCTAATCCACCTGCCTTCATCTGTCACTTGGTCTTTTTCCCTTGCAGGTTCTAATATTACTTCTATGTTGTTTATGTCTAGTGTTTTGATTGTTATGTTGCAAGGGTAATTTCTTCTCTCATATAATCTGTTGTTCTATATGCTTCTTTATCTTCAGAGACATGTCCTACTTAATGTTAGGAAATTTTTCTTCTATGATATTGATAAAAACATTTTGCGGGGCATTGAGCTGGGTTTCTTTTCCTCCCTCCCTCTATGGTTATTATTCTTAGGTGTAGCCTCTTCATAGTGTCCAGAATTCCTGGAAGTTTGTATCATGAATTTTTTTTAGATTTAATATTTTGACTGATGTATCTATTTCTTCAATAGTGTCTTCAACACATGAGATTCTCTATTCCATCTTTTATATTCTCTTGGTGAAACTTACCTCTGTAGTTCCTGTTCAAATTCCTAAAGTTTTGTACAATTCCTTCAGTTTGTATTTTATTTATTACTTCTATTTCTATGTTCAGGTCTTGAACAGTTTTATTCATTTCCTTCAACTATTTGTGTATTCTTGGCTTTCTTTAGGGGATTTATTCATTTTCTCCAATTGTTTTTTTTTTCTGTTTTCCTGGGTTTCTTTGGGGAATTTATTCATTTCCACTTTAAGTACCTCTGTTGTCTTTATATTGTTGGTTTTAAGATCTTTTTCTCTAGATTCAGCTATGTTGGAATATTCAGGACCTGATGTGGTAGGATAGCTGGGCTTTAATGGCTGCCGTTAGATTTTTTTTTAATGCTGACATTAAAGCATCTAGGTTTGAAATTACTAAAGGTCTAGGTGCTGATTTTTGGATTTGTCTTTATTGAATGGTTTGTGTTTCCTCTCTGGATTTTCAGAGTCTTATGAATGTATTGCCTCTCTTCCTGGTCTATTCAGCTAATGTTGGAGTTAGAGTAACTGAGATGAGTTGGGAGAAGGAAGGTTGGGGGAGAAGGTATTTATGATTCATTGGGAATGATGTCAGAGAGGAAAGGGAGACCACAGCAGGTTTTTAGCTCCAGATATGGAAATAAGACCTCCTCATCTAGTAGCGCAGCCTATCCTTTCTCCATGGCCACTAGCCAAACATCATTTTATTCATTAACCAATAAGAGAAACATATATACAGAAGGACAACCCCATCAATCAGTTGCAGCACAAGGGATGAGGCTGGGGATTGGGTCTTTTTGAGCAGAGAGAGGGGGAGAAGGTCTGAAATCAGACTACCTCTTGTGTGTGTAGTGGCATCTATCCTTGCCAGTGTATTTGTGCTAGTGACCACACTCCATTGGACATGACTGTAGGTGCAGATGGAACCAGAAGAAGGGAAGAATGGGGCAGTCTCTCACTTGTACTTTCTCTCTTGGTTAATGGGTCAGATCAAAAGGGCAGAGTAAGGCTGCAGAGGTTCTTTATTATCTATCTGTGTAAGTTGTTCCCCCTCAAAACACCCATTTATCATTTATCATTTATCATTTATCATAGGCCTAGTGAATTAATTACATTCCCTGCCTTCAGTTGGCACCAACATGGCTGGATTCCCATGATGAGGCCCTGTTGCTAGCCGAGTGGAATTCTACAAGCCAGAGTCAAGCGCCACCTGTTTTACTGCATTCTGGTGGCCCATATGGCCTGCTGCTTCTGTACTTTATGCCAGCCACTAAATCTGCCACAGAGTTTCTGCAGCCTGGCCTGGGTAAAACCAGCACTTCCCTGAACTCTCTGCATGCTGCAGATTTGCCCATGAATGCATGTGGGAATTAGCCACAAAGCTCCCTGAGCCTTAACTGTTTCCTTTTTCTTTCTCTTGTAGATTTGCTCACAGCTGAAAGGTTCCCTGATCCACAGCAGTGGTAAGGAGCTTCTAGCTGCTGAAATGGCTACTCAACTCAGCTAGATAAGCACCACCAGTGGTTTCAACAGACTGAGTCCCCTCTCTTCTCTCTAACAGAAATTCATTTGGTTTGAGTTTCTTGACCGTTGCTTAGAAATTACAGGTTGTAATACATTAAAAACAAAATCAGACCAGAGTTTCTTTGCTCCTGCACTCAATTTGGTGGTACACCTGCAACACCTGCTGACCATCAACAAGTGAGCCAACGCTCACCCAGACCTCAGTCTTCCAGTATTTTCCTTAAGGTATAGTAACACATCTTTTGAAATTTAAAGCAATAAATAAATAAATAAAATTAACTACTCCACAACAATGGCAGATAATATTACTATACAGGAAGTAAAAAACATTTTTATATGGATAGGATTTTAGAAGAGATTTATGGGCTACTTGGAACATATTGACTATCAGCCACAGTTGCTATTAGCTTGATAATCAATATAATGTCCTTAATGAAATGTTTTGATAATAGAGCAAAGAATTAGGAACTTATAGAAATCATACAGACTTTACAGGCTGGTAATGTGAGCATAGTTGAAAGGATTCACACCATTGAAAACACTTTACAGACTGGTAATGAGAGCTTAGTAGAAAGGATTCATACCATTGAAAATAGCAATAATGATTCAACAAACAGAATGCAAAAATTGAAGCATAATATCGAATTGCTAGCAGGAAAAAATTCCTCCATATCTAATGATTTGACAAACAGAATGCAAAAAAATGGGGCATAATATTGAACTGCTAAAAGAAAAAAATTGTTCCATGTCTGAGATTAATGACAAGATACAACATTGTTTTTGGAAGGCAATCTACATGTCATTCAGATAATCTCTAAGGATGAGAATACTAAATCTCTAGAATCATGTATGAATGTAGAGAACAAGCAACTGACTGATTTAATGAAATTCTTGGAAGGTTATACTGTCTAGGAATTTCACTCTGAGAAACAGTGGTGAATAGATTACATACCATAGAAAACCTTAAAACTGATATCTTTTAGTGAATTTTTGCAAAGATTGACTAAAGTGGTACAAATAGGGCTAGCAGATCCAGAAGCTAGATGAACACTCATTGAATCTCTAGCTTTTGAAAATGCTAATTTAAAATACAAAAAGGTGTTTGGACCCTTAAATTTCAGATCAGCACCAATGGATAAATGGATACTGCACACAGCCAATATTGAATCTTTTGATTATAACACCAAAGTTTGGGTAGAAAAGCAATCTCCAAAGGTATGAAAAGACATCAAAATACCGAATGCTTTAATTGCTGTAGAAGAGAGCATCTGAGAAGTTGTAGACAAGATTTCCCTAGAAATAATGTTTCTTCTAGGAATAACTCAAACAGAAGGCGCCAATCTTCTGAATTATGTAAAAGATGTAGCATAGGCAAACACTGGACCAATGAGTGTAGATTGACTGGAGACAAGCAAGGAAATATTTTATCATTAGAACCCTCCTTGGGGGGGCCCTCTCAAAGGCTCCCATGTCAAACATGGTTTAGTCATGCCCAGTGATTGTGGAGGACGATCCTCCCCAGAACAATTAGAAAATCCAGTGCCTATTGTAGAAAATCATACTGCTGTTGATGGTAGATTAATTTAGGAGGATTAACCAAACATTCACAGAAGAAACAACAAAAATGTACATTTTGGCAGACTTCTAAAAATGACCAAAGACCAAAAATAATAGAACAGATAATGTTATACTTGAGGGTTTGCTGGACACTAAGACAGATGTTACCATTATAAGTCAAGTTGTCCTCTTCAGGAGGTCAACATTCAATTCTTAGGGATTAGAACTCTCTCTCGGGTAAAACAAAGAATAATATGGGTTGAATGTTTAGGGACAGAGGGACAAAGAGGAAGGCTGAGGGTATATGTGGCTAATATAGGAATAAATCTATGGGGTCATGATCTATTGAAGCAATGGAATACCCATATTAACATTCCTCTAGTATCAGATATGAACCATAAACAAATCCATGTTTGTGGAAAAAATATTGTAAGGTACCCTATAAAACAGACACCAACAATCAAGGCTATACAAAAACAGAATACAAGTGCCAAACTAAGAGATGAACCAAAAGCCCTAACATTAAAATAGATAACTAATGAACCTATATAGGTGGGACAATGACTTATGAATTCTGAGAAGCTAGAAACTGTATAAAATCTGGTTCAGGAACAGCTAAATGCTGGACATATTGAAGAATCTACCAGTTCTTGGAATCCTGTATTTAATATTAAATGTAATTCTCCTGTATTTGTTATTAAAAAGCAATCTGGAAAATGGATAATGCTTGCGGACCTGAGAGTCATCAATAAAGTAATTCAGCCAATGGGCTCTCCAAAGCCTAGAATGCCTTTGCATTCTCTGATACCTAATGAATGGCCTATTATAGTTACTGACTTAAAAGACTGTTTATTTTACAAGTGATAAGGAAAAAATTTGCTTTCACAGTGCCTACTTACAATAATTGTCAGGCAGTCAAGATATATCAATGGAAGGTCCTCCAACAGGGAATGTTAAACAGCCCAACCCTGTGTCAATATTTTATGCAAAAAATACTGGAAATAATACATAAACAGTTTCTACAATCTATAGATTACCATTATAGGAATGATATACTATTGGCTGATTCTAAGGTCTTAGAAAAAATGTTTGAGGTAGTAAATAAACTTCTGTCTCTCTGTGGAATTACAAATTGCCCCCAAAAAATACAAAGAGGAGATTCTACCAATTATTTAGGATGCAAAATAGGTATACAGAAAATTAGACCACAAAAATATTTCTGTTGAGTCCATTCCTGTCAGTTGACAAAGTTTTAATTTTCCTTTTAAAATCAAATCAGAAATCTTTTATATATATGCTTTTAATTTTTATTCTGTGTATGTGGTAGAAATATCCATTCTAATATGGTATCTTCTCTGTGCATCAAAATCCTTGAAGAGTATTCCCTAGATGTCGATATAACTAGAATGCATTCAAGTTTTGGATCCACTTGGCCCACATGTGCCTCTAGTATTCTCTTTTCTATCAATTCTAATTCTTTTTCAGTTTGAGCTGACAAAATTATTGGATGATTTAAGTCTTTGTCCCCTTTTAGGGTCTTTTTCAAATATTCTAGATCATGTCTTTCTACTCTAATAATAGTCTGTAGCTGGGAAATCCTAGTAAATTTTGAATTTTGCTAATAGTCTGATATCGATCTCTCCTGATCCCTCATTTTTGTGGTTTAATTCAGGCTTTAACTAATGAGGAGATTTCCTCCTTATGGAAAGAAAATGAATATTGACAAAGAGCTTGCAGTAATTTTGGGGGGGGGGAATGATTACCAACAAGTATCCCTAAAGTGAGAGAATAAAATTCATAAAGAAAACCATCTGAATACTTCCATGCATTGTAAGGAACACATCAATCTCTGGAGTACTACATTCTATACTGATGCAAACAAATCAGGATATCAATCAGGAAATATAAATAAAGTGGTTAAAAACCCTTATAACTCTGCACAAAAGGCAGAATTGTACGCCATTCTCATGGCACTTGGGAATTTTACAGAACCTCTCAATATAGTTACTGACTCTCAATATGCAGAGAGAGTCATATTACATATTGAAATGGCTGAATTTATTCCTGATGATGCAGAGTTAACTTCATTATTTATACAATTACAAGGAATACTCAGGAATATATATATATGTCACACTTCACAGTTCTACCTCTTGATAAGACATTTCAGTTCTACCTCTGAATATATATATATATATATACATATATATATTACATCAGATCCCATCATACAGGTCTGCCAGATCATATAGCACAAGACAATGATAAAATTGATTGATTATTAATAGGAATTGTGCTGGAGGCCCTAGAATTTAATTTAAAAATACCATATAAATAGAAAAGGTTTAAAAATAATTTTTCTGTTAGTTGACATCAAGCTAAGGAAATAGTAAAAAAAATTCTACTTGTTCCTTCTATACCCAAACTTCACCATAAAGGTATACATAGAAATAAAATTTGGCAAATGGATGTGTTTCACTTTGCAGAATTTTGGAAAATTAAAATATGTGCACCATACAATAGACACATTTTCAGGATTTCAATGGGCAACTGCTCTGAGCTCTAAATGGGCTGATTCTGTTATTACACACTATTAGCGGTAATGACTATTATAACTATACCTACAAAAATAAAACCTGACAATGCACCAGTGTATGTCTCCAGTAAATTGAAACACGTTTTCAAATAATATAACTTAAAGCAAATTACTGGCATACACACAAAACTACAGGACAAGCAGTTGTTGAGGGATCTAATCACACTTTAACGGAAATGGTCTATAAAGAGGCAGGGGAACCAAGACCCCCCCAAAACAGATTACATAATACTTTACTAACATTAAACGTTCTTAATGCTAATGAGAAAGGAACACAGCTTTGGAAAAGCACTGGACAATAGAACTTCTGAGTTAAATCAACAGGTATACTTCAAGGATGTATTGACCTCAGTATGGAAACCAAGACATTTGTTACATTGGGGAAGGAGTTTTGCCTTTGTTTTTATAGAAGAAGAAAAGTTGTGGATACCATCAAAGTTGATCAACATCTTACTTGAACAGGAGAAACCTCTTAATGAGGAGAAATGATAGGTCATCCACCAAGGTAAATCCCACAAGTTGTATGGACACCTCACAAAGGTAGGGGAGTATTCTATTTTTGTCTTTACAGGAAAACAGAAAACATCCATCTTCAAGAATCCAAAAGACACTGAACATGCAGATGCCTAAAGAAGAAAGAATAGCTATACAGAAAGAGCCATCAAACAAAGAATACTCTGACTTATGGTAACAATATCTATTTATAGTAAAATCTCTCTACCTGAACACCTGTATTGCCTTACTTTCCAGTACACTAGTAGTCTCAATTCATGTAATACCAATGCTGACTTTGGAGTTGGATTTGGCTCTCCTTCTCTAAATTCAAGCATGTTGCTAAAATAAAATTCAGAGTTTCTGTCTCATATCAAAAATCAATTGGTGTAAAACAAAAGAAAACAAAATCTAGGGACTATTATTGTCAAAAGTGTTATCTCTCAAAAATCCTAATATACTTATTTTCATCCTTATTGTTACCTTTCCCAGTATGCATACCTGTAAAAGTTAATCTTTCTGTGTTGATATTAATATTGAAGTCTTCCACAGTGAACAATAAAATTTCCTAACAGCAATCATTGAAGTCTTTGGAAAGAAGATGGGACCCCACTTTATCAATTCCCCTTGATTCACCTTGGTATCTTTGAACTAGTAAACAACACTCTAGGACCAGTTTGAGAGTTATACTGCTCTAGACAATTAAGATTACCCATCTGAGATGGTGCACCTTCTTATAACACTCTGGCCAGAGCTTCAGATAGAACTTCAGTCAAGCATCACCTGCCACTCAGAGACTAACTACAAATGTTACAGCTAGTCTTCTTGAGACTTAACCATTGCTTTAGATTTTTTCCCCTTACAGGATACCATAGTCACTGTCACCCCATTACTGCAGGAAGTAATTCTAAAAACACAATGCCCCCTTTCCCTACTGTTGGCTTAAAGGGTATTTTGGGGTTTTTATCTCTGTAAAATGGATAATTATCACCTGCTTAGGGTTAGTTTTAAGTTGTATAGGGTTGGGTATGGAAGATGATGGTCAGACTCAGGTATCTTTTTTAGAAAAGTTTAAGGGTATGGATGGGAAGTGTATGGTTGAGATAGGATATAGGTATATTAACATATCTTCTAGTGAACTATTTTTAGCAACTATTAGCTACAGATAACATAAACTTATGTGAAATTAACCTCATATTCCTGTCTTGGATAATTTGTATATTAAATTTGCCATATTGTGTAGGATCTTCTTACTGTTTACAATGTTTTGCACACACATATAAAACTATCTTCATCAAATTCTATGTATATATGATTCTGCTTATGTGTAAGATACTTTATATATACATACAATTTAGGATATTTCATTATGTCGCACTTCACAGTTCTACCTCTTGATAACACATTTCAGTTCTACCTCTGAATATATATATTGAATATACATATATATATATATATGCTTACATATCTATATGTCACTGTCCTTGCTAAATTATTTTGGTAAGCTTCAGCCACTGAGCAATTATATTTCTGAGAATTACAAATTAGTTACCCATGCTTCTTATACTTATGAGGTTAATCAGACATAGATATTTGATATTCAAACACTTCAAAGACCCGCAGAATATGACATTTAAATGTTTTAATAATTTAATACTCTTTGACAGGAGACACAATTGCTTCTGACAGCACTAACCAATTCCTGAAAATATGATGGACACCGATGACACTCCATGTGGAGTTTGTTCTCTCCTTGGTTAGTGTCCTTTCGGGCAAAGAACTGCCCCTACCTTGACCACTGACCTTGGACAAGCTGTCCTAACTGGCCTAGCAGGAGATAAACTTAAAGAATACTGCTGAAGCTCGCAAAGTCATGGTAAGACAGTTTTTCAATTTCCCTGCTTCTGAGATGGTCAGTCAGAAAAATTAGGCCTTCGCCAAAGTTGGTCACCCTCACATTGCTGTGAGACTTTGTGTGATTGTCCAGGGAGACTGCTATTTCTGTCTTCACTTGCACCTTTAGGCGTATGCACACTTATACTTCATGCCTATCCTAGTAATGTTATTTTCCTTCTCAGGCCTTTGATGACATTGAAGACTAGACAGCCAAAGCTATATCCTCTCTTATCTTAGATAGACAAGACTTAGACTTTCCAGATTAGGACTGCTATGGTAATAATCTCTGTCATGCCTTTACCCTGCTTGTAATAAGTTTTAATTTGAGTATGTTTACCTTTCCTTTTCCTGGAATATACTTGATGTTTGTTATCACTGTATACAATTTTGGCATTAGGCTTAAAACCTTCTTCTTTAGACTAAAAGGGGAATTGTAGTGGCATCTATCCTTACCAGTGTATTTGTGTTAGTGGCCACACCCCTTTGGGCATTGCTTCAGGTGCGACAGAATGAGAAGGAGTGAAGCATGGGAGTCTCTCTCTCTCTCTCTCTCTCTCTCTCTCTCTCTCTCTCTCTCTCTTCTCTCTCTCTTTTCTTTCAATAATCTCTTTCTTGGGTTGTGGTTCAGATTAGAAGGATAGAGAAAGGCTGTGGTGGTTCTTTATTATCATCTTTGTAAGTTCTTCCCCAATAAAACACCCATTTATCATTTATCTTGTGTCTAGTGAACTCATTACAATCCATGACTTCATGTGAGACTTTTACTCTTGTGTAAGCCTCAAATGACTAACTGATATTGCTTAGGTCCTTGTCTCCTCTTGTGTCTTTCAGTGATATGAGATGCCCTCTTCAATGCCACAGCATTGCACCTTTCAGGTAAATGGAAAGATAAAGTCTATGGCTTGCACTTAGAAAGGCCAAGGGTGCTTCCCCACATTTTAGAATCTCTGTATAGTTCTAATGACATTAGAATCATACCACCCATGCTAGGGGTGTTTTCTTCATGTCATCTATCACTTCTTAGACCTACATGTCAGGAATTGGAAATCCAAATTATCTTGCTTGCTATATTCCAAGAGACTTGGGCATAAACAACTGATCAGGTACAAAAGGAGATTATGCATAGCTGTAGTCAGGATGACCTTGAGGTGGCCATACTAAAGGGATATAGGACTTTATCATTAACTTTCATGCCTACTCTTTAACATATGTTCCCATCACCCTAGCCATGGAGGGGAACAGCACTTAAAATGCTTAATGTGATAATAGGCTTCTAAGCTACAAACCTGGGAGGATCCCTATAAGGAGTTGCCAAGTTAGCAGTTCTAGAGCACATCAGGGATGTCCATACACTTTTCAGGTTACTTGGACCTATTGATAACTAGAAAGTTCTGGCGCTAGGCTGTGGCTCTGGGTATCCTTGACTGAGTCCTTCAGTTGTGACTTCTTAGTGTTCAGTCTCCAGGCCTTCAGGAAGCATACATGCTGGTAGGAGAATTCATGGTGGCAGGCATTCTCTTTGGGAACTCAATGCCATGAAACAGAATAAAGTTAGAAGAACAAAATGCAAAGTCATTTAAAGACCTTCTTGTACATCAAGTACCAGCTATCTAGAGCCAACAGTGAAATAAGTAAGCATCAGGGTGGGTAGAGTGGTCATTTGTGCTGTCCTTGCCCTTGTTAATGTTTTACCCAAACATGTCAGAGTGTGCTGGGCTTTGTTCAATTCAGGATCCAGGTGCTGAATGTCTTTCTGGTCATTGGCATCCATCATGCATTGATGATTTGATGTATTGCTTACAAAAACCAATCTCAAACTGTCCAGAAATGTTCCTTCCTCCTGGAAATGATTCCCAATGCCAACAGGTACCTTATTCATACAGTAAACAAACTGTCTACTGCACAATCATGTTCTCTTTTCAAAACAGAGTACACAACCTTGCCCAGGTTTTGACTGGTTATTGAAACACTCATTTGTTAAAAGATGACTTGTCTGGATCAATGATGAAAACAACTCTCTGAAGATGGTGAATAACTCATATAAACGAAAATCAGAAGTTGAGAGATAAGTCCCTCAAATAAGGCAAATAAGATTCTCAGAGCCTGCCTTTTCCTAATGAACTTTTGGTGAAGTCCTCTAACCAGAATGTGTTGGTTTTGTCTCCTAACTTTTAAGGTAATATGCACAGTAATTTTTTCTAGTGACTCCAAATTTGTGTCATTTTTCTTTTTTTTATTTAATTTAAATTAGAAACAAGTTTGCTTCACATGTCAATCCCAGATCCCTCTCGCTCCCTTCCTCTCCCCGCTTTAACACTTCCCCAACCCCTCCCCCAATCCCCACTCCACTCTTCAAGTAGGATAAGGCCTTTCATGAGGGCCCTCTGTCATTTGTGGGATTAGAAAATATCTTTTCCCATTCTGTAGGATGCCTTTTTGTCTTACTGACTGTGTCCTTTGCCTTCCAGAAGCTTCTCAGTTTCAGGAGGTCCCATTTATTAATTGTCAATCTCAGTGTCTGTGCTACTGGTGTTACATTCAGGAAGTGGTCTTCTGTACAAATTTGTTCAAGGGTACCTCCCCCTTTCTCTTCTCAGAGGTTCAGTGTGGCTGGATTTATGTTGAGGACTTTGATCCATTTGAACTTAAGTTTTGTTCAAGGTGATCTATTTGCAATCTTCTGCATGCCAGTATCCAGTTGTGCCAGCACCATTCATTGAAGGTACTGTCTTTTTTCCAATGTACAATTTTACATTCTTTGTCAAAAATCAAGTGTTCGTAGGTGTATGGGTAAGTATCAGGGTATTTCATTTATTTCATTAGTCTATATGTCTGTTTTTGTGCCAATAACAAGCTGTTTTCAGAACTAAAACTCTATAATAGAGCTTGAAGTCAGGGATGGTGATGCCTCCAGAAGTTCCTTTATTGTATAGGGTTGTTTTGGCTATTCTGGGTATTTTGTTTTCCATATAAAGTTGAGTATTGTTCTTTCAAGATCTGTGAAATATTGTGATGGTATGTTGATGGGGATTTTGTTGAATCTGTTGTTTACTTTTGGCAAGATGGTCATTTTTACTACGTTGATCCTACCAATCCAAGAGCATGGGAGATCTTTCCATTTTCAGATATCTTCTTTAATTTCTTTCTTTAAAGACTGTACAGGTCTTTGACTTGTTTGGTTAGCATTATCCCCAAATATTTTATGTTGCTTGGAGCTATTGTAAAGGGTGATGCTTCTCTGATTTGGTTCTCAGCCCATTTATCATTTGTATATAATAGGGATACTGATATTTTTTAAAAAAATTAACCTTGTGACCTGCCACTTTGCTTTACCAGCTGTAGGAGCTCCCTTGTAGAGTTTTTTTGGGTCACTTATATGATATGATATAAACTATCATATTATCTGAAAATAGTGAAAGTTTAAATTCTTCCTTTCCAATTTTTATCCCCTTGATGTCCTTTTCTTGTGTTATTGCTCAGGCTAGAACTTCAAGGACAATTGTGAACTGATATGGAGCGAGAGGACAGTCTTGTCTTGTTCCTGATTTTAGAGGAACTGCATTGAGTTTCTCTCCATTTAGTTTGATGTTAGATGTTGGTTTACTACATGTTGCTTTTATCATGTTCAGGTATGTTCCTGTTATCCCTGATATCTCCAGGACCTTTATCATAAAAGGGTGTTGGATTTTGTCAAAGGCTTTTTCCGAATCAAGTGAGATGATCATGTGGTTTTTTCTTTTGCAGTTTATGTGGTGAATTACATTGATAGATTTTCATATGTTGAACCATCCCTGCATCCCTGGGATGAAGCCTACTTGATCACTTGATCATGGTGGATGATTTTTCTGATGTGTTCTTGGATCGATTTGTTAATATTTTATTGAGCATTTTTGCATCAATGTTCATAAGGGAGAACATAGTTCTCTCTCTTAGTTGTGTATTTGTGTGGCTTGGATATAAAGGTAATTGTAGCTTCGTAAAAAGAGTTTGGCAATGAACCTCCTGCTTTGATTGTGTTAAATACTTTGAGGAATATTGGAATTACCTCTTATTTGAATTTCTGGTAGAATTCTGCACTGAAGTCATCTGGGCTTGGGATGTTTTTTTGTTGTTGTTGACTTTTGATGACTACTTCTATTTCATTAGGAGTTTTAGGTCTGTTTAGATTGCCTATCTGCTCTTGATTTAATTTTGGTAAGTGATATCTATCCAGAAAATTGTCCATTTCCTTTAAATTTTTGAATTTTGTGGAGTACAGGTTTTCAAAGTATGACCTGAAGATTCTCTGAATTTCCTCAGTGTCCATTGTTATGTTCCCCTTTCCGTTCCTGATTTTGTTGATTTTTCATGTTCTCCCTGCCTTTTCATTAGTTTGGATAGAGTTTTGTCTATCTTGTTGATTTTCTTGAAGAACCAACTCTTTGTTACATTGATTCTTTGTATTATTTTCTTTTTTTCTACTTTATTGATTTCAGTCCTCAATTTGATTATTTCCTGGTGTCTACTTCTCCTGGGTGAGTTTGCTACTTTTTGTTCTAGAGCTTTCAGTTGTGCTGTTAATTCTCTAGTGTGACTATTCTCCAGGTTCTTCATATGAGCACTTAGTGCTATGAACTTTCCTCTTAGTACTGCCTTCAAAGTGTCCTGGGACATAATATATAGATTAATTCTATACATTTTTGTCCTGTTATAACACTTAGTGATGTTAATTTAACCCAGGGAATTGGGTAAGCAAAACAAATGTGCCAACTTCAAGCTCTTTAATAGTGTCCCACCAATCACACAAGCTTTTTCATTCTTTGTTCATTTTTCCCTTCTCTCTATATATTTTCAGATAATTAATCATCTAGGTAAGATTTTTGTTTTTGACCAACTTGTCATTTCATTGGTGTTATTTTCAGGTTCAATTGTGCTTGCTATTATTTCAATCTTTCATGATTTCAGTCATTTATTATTCCTCATTTTGAATTTCCAATCATTAAGCTTAAATGTCAGTTCAATTTGTAGTTTGGTGACCATCACATAATCTCTCTGATAGTTTACACATTTCCATCACTTCGTGATTAGTCATTTGTTGCTTGTTTTTCCCCATCTTATAATTCTGACATCAATTTTGATTCTTGTAATAAGGTCTTGGCATTTGTAAACTGCCGTAGATACTCATTCCAGGCTTTGCAGTCTTCCCTTTAAAAGTGCCTGTTCAAAGATCCTGGACAGACTGTTGTCACCTCAGGGTGCATACCACCAACACAGCCTTTGAAACACTAGGGAGTTATCTCATTACAACACTGCACTGGCTGGCACATGGAATCTGTGTCTATTGATTAAGACACAGATTTGAGAAAAGCTCAAAACGTACTAAGGCTTAAAAAGCACTAAATTTGTCTGAAGTTCATCACCACTAAGACCCCTGTAGTCAAGCAGTATTGTATAATATAAACAAATGCAGATCTGTTCCATCTGGCTGGCCCTACATGTTCCTGCCCTATTGAAATGAAGCTCAAATCACAGGCGTCTTCTTTCAGAGGCTACAACATTCCCTACAATAAAGAGTTCCATGGTTGGTCCTGGTGAGTATTGGGGTCCTTATTAAAACTCCCTGCTGATTTATCTAATTTTATTCACTGTAATGATGGAATACCATACTATATATATATATATATACATATATATATGTATATATACTGTTTTATTTATACAGTAGTTGATGAATATTTTGATTTTTCTCTACATATTGACTATTTTAAAGAGTGCTGCTTTGAAAATTGGTGGAAAGTTTTTGACTGAACACTTCAGTTCATTTGGTGATATGCTTGTATGTCAAATCAAGTCATATAATAATTCTCTTTAGTTTACTGAGGAACCATGAACTTCTTTCTACCATGTTAGCATAATTTCCCATTCTTATTAATAATAGGTGAAAAAAATCTAATTTCTCTACATACTTACCAATATTTAATTCTCCTCCTTGAAAAGGAAAAGCCATCTCATGGGTGTAATGTAGCATCTGATTTCAATGTAGTTTGCACTTGACTAAGGAAATGTAATGTTGCCACTGTTTTAGGTACATGTAAGTAAGAGTGTATATGATTTAGAAGCTGAAGTATAGATGCCTTTTACTCTGTCCATTATTTAACTTAGTCTACTTGGCTGCAGAATTACTGTATGCATAATTCCTACATATTTCAGAATTTTTCAGTTTGCTGTTACTGATTTATTGGTCCATTCCAATATAATCAAGAAATATGTTTATTTGATGGTTTAAAATTTTATTTTTGTTCTTGCTTTTTAGCTTTAGTTGTTTGAAACAGGGTTATGATACATAGCCCAGGCTTACCTCAGGAACATACACTAACCAACCCTAACTAATAAAGTATAAATTAAACAGAGCATATGCAAGTTACAGTAGACTCAGTACTCGGGGCATTACCAGAGTGACCCTTTCCCTTTATATTATTTATATTGAATATTGCATTAGTTTCCTTAAGACTGCTGTATTACCACACACTAAGTGACATAGTACAAGAGAAATACATTAGGTTAATTTTCGAGTCTAAACAAAAATAACATTCACCTTTAAAGAAAATCATAGTGCCATTAAAGCCATACTTTATCTGAAACCTGTATGGGAGAATTCTTGTCTCTTGTGGGTTTCAGATTATTTTTTATTTGTATTTTTTTTAGTAATCCTTGGCATTCCTTGTCTCACAAAAGCAATTCCTCAATCTCTTGTTCCTTAGTACATACTTATTTCTTCCTGTGTGTGTATGCCCTCCTTATCAAGTAAGGACATCAGTCATACTCAATCAGAACTCACTCTAGAACCATCATCTTCAGTTGACTACAGCTGAAAAGATGCTCTTTCCAAACAAGCTCTCCTAGTAAGAATATTATTAGGGCATCATGTTGGGTAAGGGGACAGCCTATAGTTTCTGTGATTGCATTTTAAATTTCCTGTGTTACCAACTTCAACTGTTTGATCTAGTGGGTGTCTTAGAGCTTACAGCATACATTTTTATCAGTCTACCTTTAGGTCACAACCTTTGTGAACAGCACAAGAAACTTAGAATGGTATTTTCTCATTTTGATATGTATTATTTGCATAATTTGAACTATTGTAGCTCTTAAGAACTGTCAGTTCTTGCAGACTTCATATGTGTGATATTTGTATATATGCATTCCTAATCTACCCTCCTTTGTGCATATGCATTCTGCATCATTTCCTGCTAGCTGAAGTTGTGTGTCAGAGACTTCTCAATACCATTTGGACAGTGGGCCTTGAAAACTGATATAATTTTCTTCATGCTTACCATATGCAGTACTTGTAAATCTGTATGTGTCATTCATTACATTTATATTTGATTGTCTTCAAATATTCCTCATTGCACCTACCTTTCCTCCTGTTATGGAGCTTTGACCTATAGATGTTAGGGCCAAGTTGTTGCTTCTCTTGTTACTGTTATGGTAGTTAGATGTCAGCCCTTGTAAACATTCCCTATGAAATAGGAACCTGCAGTCTAAGAGCAAAACCTAACCAAAAGTTAAATTGAGTTTTAACACCTGTACAGCTCAGCTTAGTTTAAAAAAATTAATGTACCTGCATTTTAGCAGGGAGACTAAATGCTTTTAGCGATTTGTTGACTTTAAGTAGAAGAGACTCTAAGGTTTTGATGGTTATATATTTTCAAAAGTACTATCAAGGATAATTTTAACACAATTGCAAAGATTTACAAGAAGCTATTACCTCAATAGGAAGTCTTCTAACATTCTGCCCTTAGATGCCCCTTTTGAGACCCAAATCCACACCTCTATTCCTATACTGTAACATAAAAGAGCAAAACCTCAGTCTGCAATGAGTCAAGTGAATTGTCTTCTGTCTTTTCACTTTCCCTTCTGATTTTCTAGGATGACATATTTAGAACTAATTAAAAGACAGGGCCAGTGAATGGTCTCAGCAGGTTTGAGTGTACCTGTTGCTAACCCTGGCAGCCTGTGTTTAACCCCCAGAACCCACACAATAGAAACAACTCAGAAAAAGTTTCCTTGTGCATGCACACCCGTAGAATACTGAGGGAAAAAAATGCAAGTCTTATCAAATTACATGCACACAAAATAATGTAATAATTAAAAAACAGACTTTGTCAAATTAAGAATATAATTGATCAGATAAAAGATGCAAGCATTTTTGAAACAACTTCTGAAATGCAGTTAGATAATAGGCTAGCTTCCATTACCCAAGTGTACACTTTCTAGTTACAAACTAGAATCCCTCTGGCACTATCTTATGTTAAAGCACTTCCTGCCACATTTCACTCTCAGTCAGAATCCTTCATTTGAATCAAAATGATGGCTTTTATAACGATGACATATAACTCATGAGAAACACCAACCTTGACCAAAGATTGGTGTTAAGTGCCCTTTATGCAGCTGCCAAAGGCCACTTCAGGCATGTCTTACCGTGGAATCCTTGCAAGAGTCATTTATCACTCCTGGGTAACCCAGTATCTAAATATCACAGATTAAGTCTTAAAGTATATTATTTCAAACGCACATCACTGTGTTTAACAACAGTTGGAAATCTGTGTATTTTGAGACCAGTATTATCAGACAAAGATAAGAAAAAAACTAGAGACCAATATTTTTATGAATATAGATACAAATATGCTAAACAAAATACTAGCAAACCAAATCCAGCAGCATAGAAAATGGTTTATGTAGCATAGACAAGTGGGGTTATTCCAGGAATGCAAGGTTTGTTCAATATACAAAGTCCATCAATGTAATACAACATATCAATAAAGGACAAAAACTACATGACAACCTTGATACAGAAGAAGCATTTGACAAAATTCAATACTTTTTTTGATAAAAACTATTCAATAAAGGAGGAATAGATGGAATTTCCTCAACTTACAGCATCTATGAAAAACCCACAGCTAACATCATATTTAATGGTGAAAGACCTAATACTTTCCCCCTAAAATCAGGAACAAGAAAAAGATGTCCACTCTTGCCACTCCTATTTAATATTATACTGGACATGCTAGCCAGGGTACTTAGGCAGGAAAATCAAATAAAAAGAATCCAGATTGGAAATGAAGCAAAAGTATTTCTATTAACACAAGCACAAACTTGTATACAGAAAAAATAAAATAAAAGCAAAATAAGCTCAGAATAGCTGTAGTATATAAGGTCAATACACAAAATTCAATTTTTTCTAGATGCTAGCAATGAATAATCCAAAAAAGAAAACAATTGTTTGTAATAGCATCAAGAAGAATACCTTTCAAAAACATTTAACCCCCCCAAAAAAATCAAGATGTATACACTAAAATCTATCAAACAGCATTGAAAGAAATTACAGACCTAAATAAATGGAAAGACACTCCATGTTTATGGATTAGAAAATTTAATACTGTTAAAATACCAACATACTTTAATCTGATGTATCGAATCAACACAAAAACTATCAAAATCACAGGTGCTTGTTACGAAGAAATTAACAAATCAAATCGATCCTAAAATCCATGTGTAATGCAAGGGATCCAGAACAGGTAAAATGATCCTGAAGTAGAACAAGGTTGGTGGATTCAAACATCCTAAATTCAAAACTTACTACACAGCTACAATTAAGACAATGTGGTACTAGCTTAATAACACATAGGACAATGGATTCAAGTTGAGGAGTACATTTTCACAGTCACTTGTATGGGGGTGGGGTGGGGATTTGTTTGGTTTTTCACAAGGATGCCAATCCCACTCATCAAGAAATAATTATTAGTCTATGTCACAATGAGTCATTTGTTCTACTAGATATTCACATATTAAAGAATGAAATTGGATCCCTATAGTGCACCACATGCAAAAATGGATCAAGGACTTAAATTTAGGAACTAAAACCATAAGATGCTTACAAGACACGAGAGAAATGAAAATTTAACTTGTACACAAAGTGTTCATAGTTGTAGTATTCATAATATGCAAAAAGCAGAAACAACACAAGTATCCACAACCAAATAGACAAGCAAAAAAATACATTATATCAATACAATGACAATATTCGGTCACAAAAGAAACAGTACCGATACATGCTACAACAAGGATGTACTTTGAACTCATTACTTTGGGGATGGTGGGGGAACAGACAAAAAAGGCCACATAGTATATGACTCTGTTAACATGAAATGTCCAAAATAGGCAAATTCATAGGCATATTTAGATGAGTAGTTGCCAGGGGCTGGGGGTTAAGAACAGGCAGTCACACCTAATGAGTACAGAAAACTTTTTACAGTGATGAAAATGCTCTGGAATTATATATAATGACAACTACACAACTCTGTGAATATACTATAACCACAAATTTTACACTTTTTAAAGGGATGAATTTTACATTATGTGAATTATGTCTCAAACAAATATGAGGGAGAGCACATCTCTTCCATTTAAAGGTGGATGAGAAAAGGTCAACTCTTTCAAAATCAATCTTTATTACAGATTCCAATCTCTTGATGTTTTTCTTTTAGTTAACAAGTAAATGTTGGGAGAATTCCTCTCGGGGTGTCTTTCAAGATGTTATCTAGCATCTGTATGGTAATTTCATTAAAACCACACAACCAGAGATAAGGTAGAATTAGGTATAATCTATGTCAAGGCAATGGCAGGGCCCAAAATAAACTCTGAAGTCCTTTGAGTGAAAGCTGCAATCTCAACCACCCTGTACTATTTTCCATCCACCTTCCACATCATTATCTATGGATTTATGGGGAATGAAAAATAATTAGGATAATGATCCTAAGTCCTATGCATGTCAGTCTAAGAATCTTAATTTGATGGTTGATTTTTTTTTTTTGCAAAAGGAATATGACAATTATTAGGTGGTCATGTGGGCCCACCCATAGCACTAGACATCCTTTTTTTCCTGGCTATATGACTTTTAGTAAGGTGTATAACCTCTCAAGTTACAGTGGCTGACCTAGTTTGTGCAAATGAAGAACCACATGCACAGGTAGGTACTTGACAGTCACTGAGAGTTCCCTTCAGAATTTACAGGAATTTGACTTACAAAGTATAAGAAATGTTAAATATGAATCACATACATCTACAGAGAACAGAATCAGGAGGAATCCTCTGTGAAAACGAGGGACTAGTAATAGCAGAATGATTCAAGGTGCCAGCTGCCATCTTTACTGGGATAAAGGAAAGTGTGTTTGTGGTATAAAGAAGGTAGAATGTAGAGAGTCACCAAAAATTAAAAAAAAAAAAGTCTTCCTTTCAAAGACCTAGTCTTTTCCAACTCTCTCCTTTTCCATGGGCTAATATGATTCAGTGAGTCCAGAATGTATGTGTGTGTGCACGTGTGGGTGAGTGAACGTGTGCGCACGCACACACACACACACACACACACACTCTCACACACACAGACAGACACAAAGAACTATGGTGTTCAATAGAATAAGAGGATAAGAGGAGGAAAGATAAGAGAAGCAGCAAGTGAAAGTTGCTCTTATTATCATATTTTACTCTGGCGGCCCTGGGAAGGGTAGAAAGGATAAAGATAGTCTAAGCAACTAAAGGGAAGAACATCACAAAATGTAGCCTCAGAAAAACACCTCTTTCTCTAGGAGGTTATGTGGATTCTTGAGAAACAATTCCTTAAAAGAGTTTCAGTATAGCCACCTCGTAGAAATAGGGAGTGATGCTGCCCAATTATAAGCACGTGCCACGTGTTAACATGAACAAGTTCTCTGAAGCCTCATTTATAGGCTTCTTTTGATAACATATCTTCCTATACAGGGATGTATCTCCAAATAAAGCTAAGGTAACTGCAACTGGATTTGATCACACAATTAACTATACACCACAATATATACAGACACTCAATTCATTTGCTGCAGCTGCCATGTTTCCAGAAAAGTTTTGCTGCAGGCTGTGCTTTTAAGCAGTAAGTTTGAAATGTTCTACAACACTAAAAGGTATTCTTTTACTCATAAGATACTGCTCCTTGACATTCTAAGAAAGCATAATGGAAAGGCAGCCATAATAACGTGGTAACATGCTAAGGAAAACTGATTATGAAGCAAATGAGAGTTTATTTTTTCTTCTTAAAACTTTTTAGGGTATTTTTTTCCACTTTCTATTAAATATATTGATGTTACTTCTGTCTGATAATCTATATTATCACTTGAAAACTTTCACACAGATATAGTATCACAGCTACTTCAATACTGTAGCAACAATAAAACTTGAGAACTGAAGAACACAAATTCCTTCACAAATTTATTGTATAGTGTACTCACTTGTCTTCTTATCACTTTCTGAATACATAAGAAGCACAGGGGATGAGAGACCCTTTAAGATGACTACAGTCACATTTACGGGTCCTATAATCAAGGTAGCACACATACCATAACAGTGTTCTAAAGGCTAGCCCAGAAAAAAAAAACGAAAAAACCCACATTACCTTATCACAGTACAGAAAGCACTGTGTTCTTTTTCTCCCATTAAGGTATAGTTTTCTTTTTTTAAGCCACTGTTTTATTTAGCATTACAGTAAATAGTTCTGTTTTGATTACTACCAGAATGAAAAAAAAATCCCCATTTCCAATGATTTGAAAGCTACATTTTTCCCCTGCTAATTTTAAAATAAGGTTGATTTGCACTAATTGTTAAAACAATCAAGTCACAAGCTCAACAAATTAGCTGTTGCTTGTAGTAAAATGATATACCAGTATGTCTCTCCTTAGTTAAAAATACATAATTCTTTTATTTTCTTATGCAACAAAAGAAATTAACATCACAGACATAGAAGACTACGAATGGGAGACTACATTAAATATCCAGTAATTTAAGCCTACTTGTACTTTTCTATAGCACATGAATATTTAACACTTTTTGATGTAAAATTCAATTTGGGGGATACAATGTAGTTCTCAGGAGTAATAGTTCCATTCATTTGCAGGCCTGCTTACTGTGTGACTAAGTAACACAAGGCACAGTAGCCATCCTTTCTGTCACGCTGCAACACTGATCGAGTGCCTTGGAAAATAGCTGATTAAAAAGATGATGCCAACAGAAGGGGAGACTTTGGATTGTCTATTTAAAATCAAGGTAATGATAAAGATTCATTTTAAGTGCACTTTTACATGCTTGTTTATACAACAAACTTTCTAATTTTGCTGCAATAGGCTTGACTACCCTATCATTTGGCCAAATGCACTTTCCCCAGTAAACTTAAAACAACAAAAACAAAAACAACAACAACAAAAAAATCCCTGTCCTTTCATATACTAAGAGGATTGGCTACTGAAACAGTTCATTGCAAGACACATGAAGACAACATACTGTGGCATGAGTTGTTTTAATTTGTTGTGCTGTTACTAAAGTAAAGTTCTGAGGGCTGTTGTTCAAACATTCCAAGTTCTCCCTTCCATCTTTATTGATTCTCAAAATTTTGTACAGAAAACTCTTTGGGGGCTAGAACAGCAGTACTTGCACCATACTGTTTCCAAGACTTCAAGTTGCAAAAGCAAACTGATAGGAAAAAAACAGGGGAAAAAAAAAAGAAAAAAGAAAAAAAAAGAAGGTCCTGATTTGAGCTAGATACAGGGACAAAAAAAAAAAAAAAAAAAGAGAAAAAAGAAAAAAGCACATACTTGAAGATTACATGGTCTACAAATGGTGGCAATGTTTTCCTTGCGAGAGTAGTTTTGTTGGTATATATATTTTAAATACTCAAAAAGGCTCAACCTCAAGCAGTAATAAACACAAGCAAAGTGATTTAACCCTTAAAATAAATATTCAGAAAAACCTCTCTGTACATACAAGTGAAAGAATATGTAACACTTTCACGCAAAAAAATAATTATAATAATAATAAAGGATTTGTTCATATATGTAGCTGAAATCTGCTGTTCAGCCCACAATGTCCCCAATGAAGAAGGGAGGCACAGACATAGATGACTACTGTGGTTCACTATCTTACAGCCTTTTTGTACTGGGACACTATCACCACCAAATTATCCCTCTTACTATATTTATTATGTTTTTTTAATGTTTTTCTTTTTTTTTTCTTTTTCCTTTTCTTTTTGTTTCTTTACAGCATGCCAAATCCTTTGGCATATGTGATGGCCTTCAACAATCTCTCTTTAAGTTTTTCTTTGCTTGAGTATTCCGGAAGTAAAAGGACATTAAAGCAAGTATGAGATGTAGGTAACCTAAATAGAGAGAAAAACAGGGAAATCATAAGTCATAACAAATATGCTCAGTGTGAAATGCTATTAGATGTTTACCTAGTTAAAACAGTTTGTAATGAGAAACTGCAGATTAGATGAATCATAAACAGTGTGCTGTATAGCTACAAAGATCAGTTGTCTTTATCCTATGAAATCATGCCAACATGATGATGGTGATGGCAGTAACATTTTTCATTTACTGAGTTTCTATCTATGTTAGCTATTGTTTTAGATACTTAACCCATGTAGTTCATTTACATCTTCACAAATCAAACACACCATGATTAATAAATGCACTTAAAAGCTGAAGTCACTAAATAACTTGAAGTAGAAAACTATACAAAATTATCATTAAAAATTTCAGAGTCTGTGCTCTTTAATACTGAATAGAAATACAATTAGCAGGGCAGAGTTTAGGAGGACAGGCTGCTCTTGCAGAGGTCCTGAGTTCAATTCCCAGCAACCACATGGTGACTCACAGCCATCTATAGTGAGATCTGGTGCCCTGTTCTGACTCTCATACATCCATGAAGGCAGGACACTATATACATAATAAACAAATAAATCTTAAAATACAATCAGCAACTTTGGACTCCCATAGAACAATGTGAGGTGCACTCTCACCCCGAACTCTTGGGGAAGGGTCTAGGCACTGCCCTATATGAAATGACAGACTATGCACACCCCCATGGAGGGCCTCACCCTCCCTGGGGAAATGAAGGGATAACGGGGGGGGAGGGGAGGGGAAGGGCTCGGGAGGAAGGGAGGGAATGGGAGAGACCTGGAACTGACTTGTGAAGCAACCTTGTTTCTTATCCAAATTTAAACTGGAAAATAAAATTAAAAACAAAAATTCAGAGGAAAGCAAAGTATCTGAGGACTGACAAGAACCTTTGAAAAGGAAACTGTCAGGGATTTTCCAAGATTTCCTGTGCATTCCCACAGATAAGAAATTAGAAAAATAAATCTAAGGAATCAACTTTGAAAAAAAAATACAATCAGCAAAATGACAGTGAAAATGATTCGATGGCAAATATAAATTAATTAAAATTAGATCCATAATACATTAAATCATGTAGACTAGACAGTAATGAAAATATATCTGTAGGTGTATACCAAAGTAAACATACTTCTAAGGATATATCATCCGGCCCCACCATAAAATAGTGAAGTATTTAATGGGGAAGGATATAATCATATGTCGAAACTATGTAATTCAGGATTCTAGAATAAACTTAAAGAACAGATAATCAGGAAAATGTCAGTGTAAGCATTCTAAATACACGGTTATATAAAACAGCTTTCTTAATAAACTGCAAAATATAGGGAAGGATAAATCATAACAATTTGACAAATTAATTGCACTCATGTAGCTCCACAATTAGTTTTTAAGTATGCCAATTTTACCACTGAATAACAAAGGCAAAATATTCCTCCACTAACGTTTTTTTTACTTGGAATATTTCTATGTAATATGAGAAGTGAGCACAGAGGCTAAATGTTGCCTCTGCTCACATGTGTGCAACATGAGGTTTAAAGGTTTACAGTAGAGATGGAGTTGCACTTCAATATTTACCTTTCTGAGTCTGGGCCATTTTTGGCTATAATCATCTTCAATTTTCCCAGTCCTCCGACAGGTGCTCTGTCTGTGCCAGTTGTAAATTGCAAGAAGAGTCTTTTCTGTTCATCTGTAAACGAATGAACAACTTCCCAGAACTCCCTAAAGACAAAAGATACAATACTGATTTTAATTTGACATTATTACAAACACAAGCTCATGGTACTACAACATCATTACAGACAGCTAATTAGTTAATATTAAGGATACCAATCACATCAGGAATATATTTTATTTACCATTCCTCCATTATTCTCCTTTTTATTCATCCCTTACTCAATTTTGTGAAGGCAAGGTGGTAATAGATTCAGATTATAAGAAAAACATGAAGTGACATGTTAAAAAAAATAATAGCAGAAATACAAATGTACTTTTCATGTAGTTATTCTGAAAAACTTATATTGATATTAAAGTTATAATATCTGGTTGACTAAAACCTATGAACTAAATTTAATAATGTAATAATCTTATGTTACCCAAAGTTCAAAAAACAACATACAAGCTCCATAATGAACAATTTTGGAATTACTTAAAGTGAATACAGCACTAACTCACAGCTAAGAAAATTAAGATTTTAGAAGAAATTCAAAAGTATTTTTAATTGGCAACAGGGTATATTTCATGTTTTAAATTTCTTTCCACAATAATCTTAGAGGAGGACTAGATGGATTACTCAGCGGGTAACAGCATTTGCCGTGAAATCTGTCAACTACTTAATAATATATATTCTGTTATCTCCACTAGCTCAAAGACACACACACACACACACACACACACACACAAATGAACTTAATAAAAATTATAATCTCAAAAGAGACATTATGCTTTCCAAGTCTTTTAATGAGATTCTATTCTTTGACATTCAGGTATACTATTTTTATTATCCAAATATTGGCATTTTTATTGCTGACATTAAAAACATTATTCCCCAAATTTCAATATCTGAAAGCTTTATCAGATTTCCTGGCTTTCTCCAATCTCTTGTCATGGCTCCTGTAAAACTAATGCGCAACCAGAGAAAATAACAGTACGCAAAGCCAATAGGAGACTGGACAAGAAATTCATGCAAGAATCCCCCAGTTAGAAGGAACGTCCATTTGTAGACTTCATTTTTGTGACTCTGCAGGAGAAAAGTAGACTGCAATCCCAAGACCTCTGCCAGGACTCAAAAGCTACACAGCTAAGCTGGAAGGGAAAAATCAGGTATTCTTTGAAGGTGTGTTCCTGGAGAGGCTGACCAGGCTCCAATGAATGGGTTCACATGCATGCATATTTGTTTTTCTAGGTCTGGACTCAGGGGTCTACTTTTTAAAAATAGGGCCTAGATTGGGGTGGGGGTGTGGGGAGTCAGGTGAATCTGGTAAGACATTGTAAAGGGTGTAAGGGTACACTGCATACATATATGGAATTTCAAAGAATGAATAATTTTAAAATGATTTTGCAAGATGGGTGGTTAAAATAAAAGACTTCTCACACTGTAGGAAGGCTCTGATATTTGACCTAACCAGTCATCTAAGGAGGCATGCCTCCAGCCATTCCTGCAGGTCATGGAGGAAGCGGATAAATCATGGTCACAGTGACCATGCTACTTAAAAGTCATGTTTGCAGTTGTTTTTAAAATAAGAAAAAACAAAACAAAACCCTCAGAGGTCCAGAAATTCTACTTAATGTTTTAATGCTGAAAAGGGTTTCCTTTTCCTGTCATATCTTACAATAAAATCTTTAACTAAAAAAAAATGTGTATTTAGAAAGCTTAGGAGAAGTTATCAAATAGATCATATCCTAGTCACATCTCCAAAATCCATTTAGATCAAATAGAAAAGAAAAAAAGTGTAATAAAAATAGGACATCAAGTAATAAATCCCCAAAGCCAAAAAAAAAAAACCACAACATAAACAGAGTTAAGGACCGTAATAGGACAAAAAGAGGGGGAGGCATAGAAGCTGTGAAGAAAGGGGTGGGAAAGCTCTTAAAAGGGATATACATGCCTACTGAAAGGGATTCTAACTGAAAGAAGATGCAGTTGAAAACCTAGAAGACACTGAATCACACAAAGCAGAACCAAACGTTAATGAAACATTGTACACTGGTAGAAGGAATACCTTTTAACAGGGAAACCTCTTAAAGTGACTGTCCGCTTTGCTTCCCCAAGACATTTATTAACAGCAGGTCCAGAAAAAACAAAAATGAAAGTAAATGAGAAATGAAAACAATGTAATTTTAGGTCCAAATAGAATTATGAAGAGTCTTGAAAAAAATAAACAAAGCTTTCTGGCATTGGAAAGTACATTAAAAAAAACTAAATCATGAATAATAGAAACTCTGACATGAAAAGTTCTGCCACAAATGCCATGGATTAGAAATAAGGAAATGAATAAATTCAGACAGAAATAAAAACACTTGAAAATTCTGAAGCACTATGCACAGGAACTCTGGAATGGATGATTTATGAATGAAGTGAGCAAAAGAGGAGAAAGAAATCATTTCTATTTAACAACCATCCCGCATTTATAGCTGACAACAGTCTAGAAACAAAAATCAAGAAGGGGGAAATTGAGGGGCGGGGGGGTCAAGCAGGGAAAGAGAGAGACAAAATAAGTGAAACCAAAGAAAGCACACCAAAGTATAATAGTGGGAAAAGTTATTAAACACATGTTCAAGATATGATTAAAAAAAAAGAAAGCCTCCTATCAATTACTATTCTCAGTACTGGAAGGTACTCTGTACACTACCAAAGGAGAAGAGGAAACATGAATCAGCTGCAAACCCTTTGGTATAAAGGAGTGAGCCGCCAGCAGGATACACTGGAGCACTGGTGGCAGAAAGCTTGTGAGAGTAACCACCCACTGTGTGATCTGGACTAAGGCAGCATGCACAGAGCCTGTACTGTATGCAGCAGATTCAGTCTCACAGCTCAAAGGAGAAGTGAAAGACACACCCATGCCTAACGTAGAAGCTACTGCCAACTAACTGACAGCCACTTGCAAATGAAAGAGAGACTCAATGGGGGAAACAAACAAACTACTCTTACAGGTGGGCCACATAACCATCAGAAGATGGTGAACACAAAACTAACTCAAGAGCATCTACAGAGGTTCTTCATCCCATAATGCAAAGTCAAGGGATTTCCCTACCTCCCTTAAAGATCCTTTGACTATGTATTATAGCTTTATGTTTTGGGTTTTTATAAGATTCTTGAGTATGCAAACATGTGTCTCTACATCTATATGTGTTCCTTGTGGCTTTTTCCTTTGGCTCTTTTTCTGGGATTTGCCATATTCCAATTTGTTTTCATTTTTCTTAATTGATTAAGAAAAACATGATATTCCAGCATCCAGTTATACCAGCACCATTTGTTGAAGATGCTTTCTTTTTTCCATTGTATACTTTTAGTCAAAAATGAGGTGTTCATAAGTGTGTGAACTAATATCAGGGTCTTCAATTGGATTCCATTGGTCTATCTATCTGTTTTTATGCCAATACCAAGCTGTTTTCATTGCCATTGCTCTATAATAGAACTTGAAGTCAGCAATGGTAATGCCTCCAGAAATTCCTTTATTGTACAGGGTTGTTTTGGCTATCCTGTTTTTTTTGTTGTTGTTGTTGTTTCTGTATAAAGTATTTTTTTTCAAGGTCTGTGAAGAATTATGGTGGGATTCTAATGGGGACTGCGTTGTATCTGTAGATTGCTTTTGGTAAGAAGGATCAAGGCCAAGGAAAAAGAAAGTGAGCAAGAAAAGAATAGAGGGAGCCATTATAGGTTTAAAGAGAAATCTGGCACTAGAGAAATGTCCAGGAATCCACAAGGATGATCTCAATTAAAGCAATAGTGCAGAGGCTACCTTAAATGTCCTTCCTCTATAATGAGATTGATGACTACCTTAAATGCCATCATATAGCCTTTACCCAGTAGCTGATGGAAGCAGAAGCAGAGATCCACAGCTAAACACTGAGCTGAACTCCTGGAATCCAGTTGCAGAGAGAGAGGAGTTAAGAGTAAAGGGGTCAAAACCATGCCAGTGAAACCCATAGAAACAGCTAACCAGAGCAAGTGGAAATGCATGGACACCAGTCTGACAGCTGGGGAACCAGTATAGGTCTGACACCCTGAAAGTAGGTATCAGTTGAGAGACCAGGGCAGTCAATGGGGCCTCTGGGAAAGGAACAAGTATTTATCCCTAGTGCAAGGACTTTGGGAGCCCATTCACTATGGAGGGATACTCTTTCAGCTTAGACACATGGGTGAGGGCCTAGACCTGCCCCAAATTACATGACAGACTTTGATGATCCCCCTTGGGATGATGCACCCTCCCTGGGAGTGAATGGTGGGTGAAATGGGGGGTTGGTGCAGGGCATGGGAGGTCAGGAGGGAGAGGGAACTGGGATCAATATATAAAATAAGATTGTTTTTAATTTAAATTTAAAAAAGTATTTTTTAAAAAAGAAAAGCATCATATTCAAATTTATTCCTTACTAAAGCATACAATATTTTAGCACTAAAATTATGAAATAATGCCGGAAGAAACTAATGTGTAATAAATGGATAGGTCTGTGTCATGCTTGAGGTTTACAGAATCCAAACTGTTAAAAATGACAATGCTCAGATTATTTATTCAAGCAAAGAAATCCATTATCAAAATCTCAAAGGAATGTTACCACATTCATGTAAAATTCAAAGCAGATTTTAATATTTATATGAAAGTAAGACAGTGGAAGCAACTGAAAAGAAGGAAAAAGTAAAGGTGCTCACACCTTCCAATATAAAGATTTGTTCAATATACATAAAGGAATCAACAAAGTGTGACTTTGACCAAAAAACAAATGAGTAGAATGAATTAGTAACTTATTTTCACCAAAAAATAAATTCAGTGGGGAAAAGAAAGAAGAACACATGTATAACATGTTAGTGATGATCTGCTATCAAGAATGTAGTTTAAAAGAAAAACTTCATAACCGATGACAAGAAAAGCAGAGAGGACAATTAACAAAGGGGGAAAAAAATGAAGCCAGCGCAACATCATAAGTAATCAGAGATAGGCAAATTTAAACTACAATGAGATTTTATTTCACATTCCTCCAAGAAGTCTATAGATCAACAAGACCAAAGACTTGAAAGAGATACAGAACTGACCTCTGGATGACTGCTGGTCATCCTAGAGTTCAATGGCACTACCATTTAGCAAAAAAACATTCTTGCAATGCTTCTTAAAGCTTAAAATGTATCTGTTACAAAACTATAAACTTCTACCTCCTATGTTTTACAAGAGAAATGAAAATGCTTTAACAGTAAGACTGGATAACATTACTTGTATTAGCTCTAATCAAGAAAATCCAACTGCCATCAATAGTAGGAAAATGGAAAAGCAAACATCATACATTCAGCTAAAAAATTACTTTTCCGTTAAAAACTACACTGTAAATTAAAAATAGATATCGAAAAGGCTTACTCTATGACTCCATTTATATTTAATTCAAGAGCACCCAAAAAAAGGAAACAAAAGATAAAAAACAAAGCAAAACAAAACCGCTGTTACAGAAATCTATACAGTGACTGCCCATAGGGACAGGAATCAACTGCAAGAACTTGGATAATAGTCTGTATCGTGATGTTATAAAGTGTAATTATCCAAATCTCCAAATTCCACAACACAGCTCTATGTATTTCATTGTACTTAAAAGATACCTCAGACATTGGTATCACAGTTGTCACCAACACCATATTTACAATGTTTAGGCAATGACTGTTTCAGAAGCAATTAAGCTATTATAAGATTTTGGTAAACATAAAAATTATTAATGAGAAAGACTCATTTATCATGAAAGACGTACAATATAATATTCATCCCTACTTCTGAAAAAGCAAAACTTGATGAGCCCTACAAATAATACTTATCAATACTACAGGTAATAAAATGTGAACTAAAAGTAACACTTTCTTCATCTGATAGCATTAATGAATTAAAATACTATATCTTTATCCAGAGCAAAAATTACTAAAAGGCAGAGATTATTAAGCTACAATACCTCTAGATGAAAGTACAAATAAATATTTATTAAGTAGGAAAGAAATCAAATACAAAGCTAAATCAAGTCTTGAAGTAGAAATTATGCATTAAAAGAAAAATTGATGGGGCTGAAGAAATGGCTAAGCAGTAAAGAACATTGACTGCTCTTGCAGAGGACCTGGGTTCAATTCCCAGCACCCACATGACAGCTCACAACCATCTTAACTCCAGGGTCTGACACCCTTGTACATGTATGCATGTAGGCAAAACACTGATATACATGAAACTAAAATTAATTAATCCAAAAATAGTCTCAAGAAGTAAGGGGACAGAGCATTTGAAAAAGTCTCTTAAGTAGAAAAAAAGGAATCAGGTACAACTTTTCCAAATGAAAAATACATGAATAAAACCTTACTTGTGCATTCTGGTTTTATAAATTCTGAATACATGGGATAATTATTAAAAAGATTCCTATATTGTAAGTTTTTCGGAGATGGGAGAATATCAGGTTTATTTTAGTGTTTAATTTCCTATTAACTAAAAATTCCAAAGAATGTTTTCACTGTGTTTATACTAACAAAAATAAAAAGTTGAAGTAATTTCACAAGATTTATGATATTATAAACTGTTAAGTTTGAAGCTTATATTACTGCTGTAATTTTTTTGCCATTAAACCCTGAATTTACAGTTAAACAAGGTATGAATGACAAAAGAATGGTATAGTTACAAAAACACAAAACTTTGATTTATTTCTAATGTAATTTATCCAAAAACAAAAGTTGAGGATACGTTTACTGTTCTAAAATGAAATGTATTGAAATCCTGTTTTGGATCAACATTATTAAGGAGATAATGTTATGATATTCCCATTAAGGCTTTCCTATTAGCATGTTATTTCAACCCTTTGAAACTGAGTATTTAGGAGCAATACAATGGTTGTCATTAATAAACACACTTATGATTGCTGTAGGAAAGGGCAAAGCAATAGTAATCTTCTGCCAATCTAGATAATTAATATAATTATTCTGTAATACAGAACTAACAAATGTATCTATGTATCATTACAAGACATAGTTAATATTCATTCTGCTCTTCACATACTTGAGTCTTACAGCTCTAGGGATCTTCCAAAGAGGTACCCGTTTAAATGTCTAAGACTTCACACAAACAGGGGATACCAACAGAGCCTGTCATTTTCACCAATTATATATACTAGGGGATCGGGAAACTGTCTTTCAGAATTGGATATGAGCATGGTACAGAAAAGTATGAACAATAACCAGGGCATCTGACTAGAGAAGGACAGTATTGGTAATACTGTTCTGAGAATTGTTCAGAAGCACCAGTACATATCATTCTTCCCAAATGTCGTAAAGACATTTGAATCTTAAATACTACAGTGAAGAATGTACCTTTTTATACATTACAAGAAATAAACCAAAAGGAGGAGAAAACATGAGATTAGATAACCATTTAATTAATGAAACAAATCATTAGATTGTATGAATACTGGTAATATTAATACAGGTCTACTTTTACAGATGAGAGCTTGTTAGGGAAGCAGTAACAGCAGATACAGGTCTCAAACACAATACACACAACCTTCTTTGATGAATGAAATCTTCCTTCTTAAGAATTAAACACCTCACCTAATCAAAACAGACTCTCTGGTATAGCCACCGTCATATTCCGTAGTTTCTTCTAGTGCTTGGAAATCAAGATTCTGAAAATTATAGAAAAAAACACACTTTAACATCTATATCATATCATTCGCAAAGTAAATCATGAGGTGTTTTTGCAGATGTCTTTCTTACCCTACTTCCACATATAAGCAATTCAATCTCTTCTGGTCTGAATAAGTACTTTAAGGGAGATTCATTAGTCACCATGTGAAAACCTCTGCGAAACGCCTTGAACTGTTTTTCTACTGATTTATTGAGAATGTAGTCTGAATAAAGACTGACAAATTCCTGTAAAATATTAAAAACAAGATTCACATGTTATACATTCACATACTATATATAGATTAACATGCTATACAAGTGAACACAACTAGCTATTAGGTTGCATAGCCACTTTTAGCCCAACCCAAAAGAAATCCTTCAGGAGTTTTTCTTTTTTTAATAAATTTAAAAAATTAATTTGAAGAGATGGTTCAGTGGTTAAGAACATTATCAACTCTCATAGAGGATGTAACATCAATTCCAGAACTAGCATGGCATCTAACAACCATCTGTAATTCCACTTCCAGGAAGCTAAATGTCCTCATGCCCCCATGGGCAATATATGCAAACAATCCACCAACATATATAGAGGCAAAACACTCATGCATATAAGATAAAAGTAAGTCTCTAAAAAATTAATTAGATGTTGTATGGACAAAGAAAAATACTTTCACAATTTCTCACTTCTAACAGATATTAATTTATAAATAGGTCATATATGAGTTATACATATAGATTATGATTATGAGAGTAAATTAAATAGGAATTAAAGTATAATTTTACAATAGTAAAGATTAATATAAAAACAGAGCCCCAAAACAACATTTCAAAGTCCTTTAAATAAGTATGCAAATATAAATATATAAATACGGACTTTGAGCAAACCAGAACGTCTCATCTTTTCTACTACAGATTTTGGTAAACTACCAAATCTGCAAAAACACTATTTGTTGGTAAGCTAAGTTACTGAATCAAATTACAAATGTGTATTCTGTGTCTTGACATATTTTACCAAAAATATAGTCATATAAGCTTACATATTTTATAAAAATTATACTACTTATTGTAATTTTCTTATTCTGTCCTTATTTCCTGTTCCCAAATGAATACATTTTTAATACAAACCAAACTTAATGAAAAGAATAACTTTCATATGTATAATTAGATTTTAAATGGGAAACATGTATGCACATTAAATAGGATCATAATCACTGGGCTCTGTTTACCTCTAAGGTTTAATAAGGTAATGCCCTGTTTCTGGTGTTACACTACAGTTACATTTATCTATTCATTTTGTGCTAATCTGTGTACTCTTTCCCTAAAGAGAGATTAGCAATTAATGCGTACACTCATATCAGCTCTTATCTAAGAGTTAGCAAAATATACCTTTACTATTTATATGAATTTGTAAACTGTTTCAAACTGTATTAAATAATTCTTTGAAAACTCTTAAGAATACTGCTTTGAAATTATATATTTACAAAAAACAATGGCAGAAGAATTTTATTACCTTCCTGTTTTCATTTGTAATTGGAATTTTATCACCATTTTCCTTTAGATCATACATCATTGGGTTACCAAAAAGATCTGTCTGTGATATCTGGAAAGTAATCATCATATCATCTTCCACATTCCCTTCATACTCCAATAAGTCCTTTAAACTCTGATATAAAACCTAAAACAAGAAAGAGAAGTGAGGTTATCAAATAACTTGTAAAACACATTTAAAAAGACAGGGGTGGAGGGGGGAAGGGAGCTGGTTTCATTCCTTTTAGAAGCAATTTGTCAATAAAAAAGTCAAAATTATTTCCCCATAGTTTAATAGGACATAAAAGACTGTCACTGAGCCAGGAAGTGGTGGCATGTGCCTTTAATCATAGCATCTCGGGGGCAGAGGCAGGCTGATCTCAGTGGGTGTGAGGCCAGCTTGGTCTACAGAGTGAGTTTTGGGACAGTCAGAGTGAACAGGGGAAAAAAAAAAAAAAAAAAAAAAAAAAAAAGGTCACTGACAATACATTAATCTTTGCTTAGAAATTCTTCAAATCATCAATTCAGCAACATATTTCATACTGTGCTCTAGAATATACACAGCATCTGCAGGATGGAGGTTGGATACAGGAATGAAACAAACAAACAAAAAAAAACAAATAACAAAAAAAAAAAAAACACACAAGGAGAAGGCAATGCTCATTCTACCAGGCAGACTTACAAGTTTACATTGAAAAGAAAATGTTTATAACATTTCACTGTATATAGTCAGTCAAAGGTTGCTTGATGCAATCTATAAAACACTACTTTAAAATTTTAAGTGTTCATTATACTTAAAAGAACTTTACCACACTAGGTAGCAGTGGGTACTGAAAAAGACTCCAAACAAAAAGGTATATATATATATATATATATATATATATATATATATATACACATATATGTGTGTGTACATGTGTGTGTGTGTGTATCTCTTTATTTAGATAGCATCTTAGAGACTATTTAAAGAATGACAAAGAACTTACTGGGTGAGAGTCTCCCAAGTCACGAAAAGTTCCTTTTTTCCCCATTAGCTTCCTGTAGACAACCATGGGAAAGTGGACATCCAGTATACAATTATTATAAATAGCCAAACCGAGGACTATGCCAATTAAAGTAAATTGACCCTCGGTTTCAAAAGAAGATGGATTAAACCAAAATAATTTTGTAGCTTCATCATATGTGAACATACCTATAAAAAATAAGTTTTAAAATAAATTTTATTTTTGAAAGTATAAAATTTTAAAAATACTCTTAAACAAAATAAGACAGAAGAATTTTAATATAGTAGATATGTTTTTGCTATTACATGCATGTGAGAAAACAATAACAGTACAAATATAATATCTAATTATCATAAGTGTATTAACTGGTAGTATACAATTCTAAGAAGCAAACAAAAGAAAATAATATGCAATTTAGGTGATATTTCTGGAAAGGTATTTTTTAAAAGTTTTATTAGATTATTCAAGTCTCATCAATTTTCATTGACTAATCTTAATTTACAGTCATATTTTAGCCACTCAGATAACTGAAAAGTACCTAAGAAGCAAACCCATGATCATGTACAAAAATTAGATAAAGATGGTTAACTTTCAGTTACTTAAGATACATAACTAATGTAAGCTAATAGTTTTAAAAAGATTTTGTAATATTTCATCTTTACATGCATGATCATCATTATTCAAAACCAAACTTGAGAGACATTTTTTTCATATCATTATTTCATCTATGGGAGCAGAAATAGAAATGTGTCTTCTCCTTTCACTGAACATTAAAGACAAAAATATTTTATATAAATGCATATCCTTTCAATTTTTCTAAGTTTATTTTCAGTTGTTTCTCAGGAAACACTTGTAAATTAAGATCTAATATGCTGGGGGAGAGGTGATTTCACAACTTAGCCTTTAGCAGAATGAGGCACGTGGGTCATGAGTTTAAGGACAGAAAGCACTAATACAATATATAAAGACTGTCCACAAAAATCACAACCAAGAGCAAAGTAAACAAACCAAAGAACGCTTGGGCAAAGAAACTTTTTTTCTAATGGAACATTATTCAAACCCAAATAAAGCAGCATTAAAATGTGCTTTTAAATTAACTTTGAAAAGATTTAAAAATTTTTATTTTCAATTTTAATGAAAAGAAAAATACAATTTTCTCTTTGACCTGTAGGAGTATAAATGAACTCTACACTTTTTTTGCAACTTAATATTTGTGAAATACTCTTAAAATTATCCAACTCATACTTGAGTTCTGTATTTTGAAATATATATATATATATATATATATATATGCATGGCTATTTATTTGCAAGCCAAGTTATAGATCCACAGAGTATCAAAAACTCTAGTAGGCAAGCAGTAAGTAGGATAGAATGCCACAAATGTATGATTTTGGTCACAAGAACAATAAGCTATAACTTAGCCAGTCTAAAATTTATAAGCCATTATTCTCATGCTTTCAGCAGCCTCCAATCCCCCATATTCCAAGGTTTTCCAAGTTAAATTTACCAAAAAGGTAATTGTCATCTATCAGAATATTTGGCTAAATAATCTAAGAAATAAGGTAAATACACAAGTAGACAGATCAGTTCCTGAAGCATACACATTTGCTATCTATTATTACAGGTAAGCCATATCCAATTCTTTTGCTGTTTATCATAGCTGAGAATCTTCATAAACCAAGTTCATTACTCAAAATACTAACATATCATCATCATATCACTAACACCTACCAATATCTGGATTAAAGATTTCCTCCACAACCAACTGAAAAAATTCTTTGGAAACACCTCCTTCATCCACTCCTTGCTCTCCTTCAAATTCCACATATAACTGCTTCTTCAAGTCTGCAGGATTTTCCATAGCAATCATCTCCAGCTGTTGAATGAAAACATAAAGAAGAGGACCAATGATAATAGGATAAAATATACAGGTATATATATATATATTGTTTAGGATCCTATTTTTTTTCTTAGTAGGGGATGCAGCCAAAAGTTTTTGGAAAAAAACAAATGGTTATCATTACTTCCTGAATATCTTCAACTATGGAAGTCTAGGAAATGTTTCTAAACATCTCTCTTGGTCGTGTTTAACTCATTTGTATGTCTTCATGGGTGTAGTTACACATGGGTGATTACACATCAGATTCTATTCCTCAGGACCTGTCTACCTTGCTTGTCAATGCAGAGTCTCCCATTGGACTGGAGGATTGAAGATCAGAAGAGGCTGCACTGTCAAGGTGCCAATACCTGACTACCAGCAGGATTGCAATGCCCACTCAATTTTCCTTTTCTTTAACAGGGTTTGGGATTCAACTCAGGTCTACTCGGAAGCACTCTACTAACTGATCTATCCTCGTAGCTCACAACACAATTTTCAGGTCAGTGTTTATTGAAAATTTATTTTTGAGGCCATATTTTGTTCCAGAACATCAAAGAAACCAAATATTCTTTTACAGGACCTAACCATCACTAAAGATTAACATTTAAGTTTTAGTAAATCAAGCTAATTTTCTAATGTACAAAGAAAAAAGGAGGTAATACTCTTCATACTGCAAGATGGTAAAAGCTTAGGAATATACAATTTCTGTAAAGCATGCAAAATTGGTAAGAACTAATATTACCCTCTAAAAATATAGTATTATTTCTTAAAATTTATAATTTTATGTCCTCAAAAGATCAAAAGGTAGACTAGTCCTGAAACTCTACAGTCAAAAAATATGTAGATTCGAAATTAACCTTCAGAATGAAAAAGAAACGCATACCAACAGCAGTGCTAATTGAAAACCTGTATCCAGACAGAGTAACTCTGAGTATCTGAATTTCAATGATTCCAAAACATTACTGTTATTACTGTGTAATACATTCTAGGGATTTCTCCCAGTTCTCTCAACTTGCAAAAAATCTAAGAGATTCAGTAAATTTTCATTTGCTTTTCCATCACTAGAGTAAAATTGCTTTGAACAAATATGACTAAATAGGAAAAAAAAAGCCTGATATTATTTATGTATTTGAGTGCAATTTCTATTAAAACATGAAAATTAGTGATTCAAAAGTTTGTTGGTATTCTTAGCCCATTATGATTCTAATAAGACAGCATATGTCTGTCCATTTCTATCAGTCTCTCCTCCTTTTCCCCAAGTACTGGTTAACACAACATTTAATACTGTATGTTTTATTATGATCACTGAAAACAAAATTTTCCATCTTTTTGCTTTGCCTTGAAATGTAAAATAACCATAATATAGAATCAAATAAATTAATATATGAAGTGCTCCAACATTAACTATAAGTTTGTAGTTACAGATCAGTGAGGGCTATATTTTCATTCTTTATCTAAAATAAGATTAACAAATAAATATTTCCAGTTTAGTCAGAATATTTAACCACAAAATTTTAAAGACAAAAATATTCCAGGAATAAGAGCAGTAGAATTACTATATAAAACTTACAAATCACTTTACAAATAAAACCCATCTAGCAAGTAGGCTGCTAAAACCACTTTACAGATGGGTCTTTGAAGTAACAAAATAATAAAAAGGCTGAATAATTTAAAAAATAGTAATTCAGATAAAGAGGGGTTCTAGTCCAGGCAGCAAGCTTTAGAATACAGTTCAACTACCTCTCCACAGAAACTAGAGCTAATGTTTGTTTTTAGATTTTGTGTGTTTTTTTACTTTCTTCTTTGGCTTTCCACATTTTTATTAAAACTCACATAATTGCAGAATCAGGATATATTTGAATGTTATAATTTAAAGGTAGTTGGCAACTTAATTCTGTAGGTGGAAGTGTCTGATTAGCTATTCTCAATGTGCTAAAGTGATTTTCTAGTTACCTATTTGAGGACATTGCACTAGCAGCCTATCTTTCTAAAAACTGTGGTAACAAAAACAAAACATAATATTTAATAACAGCCTTTTACATAAGACATTATCATAAGAAGTCACATTAAAATTTCTTTCTCTTAAAAATAATAATCCTTAAAACCTACCACACACATACCTTAAGCCATTATTTCATCAATCAAAAACTAGTTAGTGTAGGAATTAAAATTATACAGCTATATTACTTAATAGCTTTTATTTAAAACTAAATTAGTAAAACTCATGTTGTTTTATATGTAGCTGGATCTATGAAAATGAAAACTGTTGGAATAATACATCAGACAAGTGTGAAAAACATCTATATGCATCCTTGACCTCATTTATTATACATTAATGGATTTTATATGTATTAAGATTTCTTGAAACATAAAATATAATATTGCCTTAATAGATAGTACTAGAGAAAAATAAAATACACTGGTGTTATTATACTGTATTAAAATGTTGTGGTAACTACCACTTCCTAATTAGGCTTCTTTTTTTTTATTAAGAAATCCCACTCTTGTCGACTGTTAAAATAATTTTAAATTCCTTAACTTTTACTTGGCAAGCCAAAATTCTAAAGATATCATTTTTTACAAGCTGACTTGATATAAAATCATTTTCAGAACTAAGAAAGATGATATATTGACACAAAACATTCTATTTTCATATCTTCAAAGATCTAAACAATTCTTTCAAGTCCATCATTTAAAATATTTATATATCCCCAGGTACTACCTCAAATCCTACGTAGAAAAATAACTATGAATATAATTATTTAAGTAGAAACAGCACTCAGATTTGTTCAACAGTGCTAAGATTTTCCAAGAAAGGTGATTTACACAGCTTGGTAAATAACACTAAATTAATGATTACAAATGAAATTAACTTAATGAATTTAACTTTTTCATGTTATCTGTAAACAAATGAAGACCAGTCTACTGTGCCTTAAAGTTTAAGTGGGTTACAGTTGAGTCAGATGATTACATCTTAGGTTCTAAATGCAATTAAGGCATTCATTTCTGCAACTAAAAATATCTCTAAAGTTCATTTTCCTCACATGGAACACTAAGGAATTTGATAAATTTTATTATTTTAAATTGTTAGATGATGCTGAGCCATTATGATACTGACTACTACTTTATTTTTCATTTTTGTTCTAAGAAATTACTTTGAAGACAAAGTGAAGGTTCCATTCATTTCTATGAGAATAATTTTAAATAATACTAATTACACTAAGTACAATTTAATTAGTGAATGATTGGTAGAATTAAGTATACAGCAGAGAAAAACCCCATTATTAAAGCACTGTAGGCCAACTGATGAAAAAAAATTCAGGCTCATATAGCAATAGGTATTTATACAAACGGTAATTATGGAAGCAGGGTTAGACAATGCTTCTAGACCCCTAATAAAAATGGTTAGGAACTCTGAGAGGAGATTGGGCAGCAGTTCTCACAGGCTTCTCTCCCAGCCAATCTCCCTCATTAGCATAAGTCAGGTCCTGGTTTATGATCTTTTCTTCCCAGTTCTGCATCTTAGCCTTTCCTTCTAGGCTTCAGGTTAACTACGTAAAACTCCAGAACTTACTACATTTAATCAGGTCCCATAACACCATCCACTCCTATTTTAGTCACACTGACTTCATTATTCTTTTTAAATACTGGCAATATTCTAAACATGCAAATTAAAATAGTCAATAACCTAGACAGATAAACTGTACTAAAAACATTTCCCAAATATTGGTGTGCAACACAGATGTCCCAGAATATTTAAAATACAGATTCATATCAGAATTCCTAATCTGAAACCCTAAAAGGCAAGCCTTTGATTTTTTGTTGCTGTTCTTTTGTTTTGCATTTGGGCAACTCTCTAGGCTGTGAGGGCACTCTGAAGCATCTCACATACAACAATGCTGTCTCTTCCTTGATACATATAATCTTGATCTCCACTCTGTTATAAACAACTCTAAAGACTTTATATCTACATCCCTCAAATTGCTCTGTTCAGAAGGGAGAGAGAGCACATGTTACTTGTTTACTGGGGACTAGAGGGACACCTGAGGCACAGCACACATGTGGAGATCAGAGGAAGAGATTTGGGCTTCCATCCTTTCCTAACATGAGCATCTAGAGGATCAAACTCAGTCAATCAGGCCTGGTAGCAAGTAACTTTCCCCACTAACCCATTGCAGTAGCCTAAGAATATGTATATAGCCCAAGAACATACATATGTATGTATGCAAATTATTTATATGTGCATGTATGTACAAATTGTACAAATTCTTTATATATATATTAATATTTGTTAAAGCTTCCACACTAAAATTGTTATCATTCAAATGGAAGAAGGGTGCTCATTAGTATTTATTTCCGCATTATTTTCTAAGCAATAAAAGCCAAAAATAAGTGTTAAAAGAAGGCACAGGAGAAATACTGTGGGTTTTTTTTTCTTTTTAGTAGGAGTAAAATCGTATTTTTACAAAAAAAGCACATTATATTTAATAAAACATTTCAAACATGAGTATTCTCTTGTCAACTAACAGTTCCTCTAAAAGCACTAGTTGGGAAAGAGTTGTTGAAATATTTGAATTTAACAACAGATGAAAGCAATGGACATACTTTGGCTTAAAAATAATTGATCAGAGAGTGTGCACTCATAATTTTAGCACAGGAAGCAGAAATGAGAATCACAAGTGTAAAAAGAACCACAACTAATAATTCTAATTTACTGACCTCTCTACCTTTCAAAGTAACAAGTCTAATTAATTAATAACTGAAAATTAATATTCAGTAGAAAACTTACAAAAACCACATATGTAACCTTTTATAGGCAAAAAAAAAGTTAACTCCTTCTTAGCTCTTAAGTTTAGGGTACTGTAACTGTCATTATTTTACTAATGATGAATTCACAGCAGAACTTATCATTCTTTCTTCTCTATACAACCTTAATATGACTGGGTCATAAGCAAGTGTGATCAACAGGCATTACTGGCATGCTATTTTATAAAGGAAGCACAAGGTTTAAAAACAAAAGGACATGTGGAAAATAAGACACGGGAAAAAAAAAAAGAATGAATAAAGCTTACCCTATCAGTTCATCAGTGAGGATCTTTTTAAATACTGCTTGCTGTGAACCTCCTCCTTTCAGTTACTAAATCTAATGTGACTTGGTGTTAATACTGTTTATAGGGGTCAGCAACTTGATCTCTAAAGCCTGTGTCTTATAGTTACATTTCTAACCCTTTTATACTGGTATGTTAGGAAAAAAAAGAAAGAAATCTGGGGTTGGTAGTTAAAATGGTATAGAAAGATGAAGAAGAGAGCAGGAGGAAAAGTAGTGAAAGGAAATGCAAAAAAGGATAAAGGATAAAAGCAAGGTAGAACCCCTAAGAATCTTCTCAATGAGTACTCGCTCTTTGTAGCTGTGCTGCTTATCCCAGAGACAGGCACACAGAACTGCTGAAGGCAAGGGACTCTGTAAGCTGGCACTAATCACGTACAGATACTATCTAATGCATTATGATTTATAGCATGTCAAAGCATGTAACCAGCTGACATGAGCAAAATTCATGGCAACAATGTTAGCATAAGTACAAGGCTTACTGTAATTTCATTCCAACACCTCTTTAGGAAAAGAACTTTAAGTACAAAAATGGATAATTTTCTCCTAAAAGATAACTTTTAAAAATATATAAGTACTATCTAATTTTTTACTGGGTCTAACAATCACTTTATTATATGAAGAAAGGAGGAAACTAACAAAGAAATCAGGTAGGAAAGGTAGATAATTTTGGTTAAATCTGAATTTAGTTCAGTATTAATGGCATTTCACATTTAGACAGATCTATACTAAAAAAATACATTGTAAAGTAAATATTATTTTATCTGTTACAGGGTCTTATTATTTGTTGGTATTTAATTGTAACAGGTACTAAATTTTACATCACCTTCATAGAAAAAGAACTAGCACTGGCAGGAATAAATAACACCACAGAATAAAGCGCTGAACTTGTTAAATATAATTCTGTAAAAATATGGCCAGCAATTGGCAAAGCAATTTTCTGGCTTAATTGACAGGGACACTGCAATTCTTGTCATCTGTGGAAGAAAGGACCAGACAAGAAGTAGTGTCATCTGAAAAACAATTGGAGTTAGAAGTACCACACTCCCCAGTTAAATATTCTGTATGATTGAAATTTTGATATCATTAATTATCCAAATATGCAGAAGTCTCAAGACTTACATTATTACAGTTAAAAAAAAATCGGACAGTTTCAATATAAGACAGAGTAACTTAATGGCTTAAAACTCCAAAGTCTCACTGACAAAATGGATCAACCTATCCTGGTCATATCATCAAGTTCACAATAATGAGTTTTACGTAATGAAACTAGCCAGGCACCTCATATACATTTAAAATTCAGACTTACTGTATTATTTCTCCCAATTACACCTATATTCATTCTTAACACTGGGTATCACATTTGCCTCTGGCATGTGTTCCACCCTTCCAGTCTGAAAACAGACTTTTCTTCTAAGTGGAAACAGATGGGGCTGGCTTTCAATATTTAGAATATCCACGACATTTTAGTGTTTTCTAAGAGAGATAGAGAGAGTCAAAGAGAGACAGAGATAGAGACAGTAAAAGAGAGACAGACAGAGACAGAGATAGAGGGGAGAGAGAGAATGTTAAATGGAGAAAATGCATGGGCGGAGGTCAGAGCACAGGAAGTATCATTCCTTGCCTTCTACCTTCTAGTTGTTCCCACATAACAAAAGCTACCTGACCCACGAGCTTCTGAGGGTTCTGTCGGAACTTTCCACCTGGCTTTAGGATGTGGTCTTACAAATGGTGCTACCATATCAAGCTTTACACATGTTCAGGGAATCTAAGCTTAGGTCCTCATGTTTGCACAGCTACTTTTACCCACTGAAGTCATCTCCCCAGCAATTGAAAATCTACTCTTCTTCAAAGTGAGAATAATCGTTAGATTACACAAACAATATAACCAGTATTTTTGGTGAGTAGCAAGAAAGGTGTAGTAATATAGATCAGAAATGCCATAGGTAAAATGAATACACTGAAATATGTCACTTTGTAGCTTTTAATTCTGATTTTAAATAACAGTCAAACTTACCCGAACAAGTGCATCATCTATGATATGATCACGTCTGACTTTGAGTCTCAAATATGGATTCAACTGCTGCCCTTGAACTAGGCTGTAGAGAACAGTGATTCTACGTTCACTGTACATGCGAATTCTATTATCATAATACAATCCCAAATTCTTTGTGACCGCATTCAATATAAAGGGACATGTCATAAAAGAGAATTTGTTTTCTGTTTCAACTTTGAAAAAGGTATAATCCTTATCCATTTCTAGAACATCATTCAGTGGTTCATTAATGAATTCTTCAAAGGAGATAAGTGGTTTTCGACAATCTAGAGTCTTAACACCAAGTTCAGTTTCTATTGGGTCCACTCGAGGACCCTTCTTGTTTCTTCTTTCCTCTCCCAAAAGCTCCTGCAGTGTCAATTCACTGGACTCAGGTATGGGCTCTTCATCTTCTTCCTCATTGTGATTGGTGTCTACTTCCCCTCCCACTACATTTGCATAGTAAACCATTTTCAAACACTTTGAAGCAGCAACAATGGCATCATCATCATTCACTAGATTTCGGCTATTAAATTCATTGCTTATGACTTTGTAAGTAATAAGTTGCTGAAATGTTTCCATCATTCTCCGAATCTGGTCTGCACTGTATTTAGACCAAAGTCTGATCAGTTTTCCTTGAGCTGCAAGGGGTAGCTTACACATAGCTTTGCAAAATAATGGCAGGGCCATTTCCAGATATTCAGGACTGTGGAGGTTACTATTCTCCATTACAATAATGAACAAATTGAGATAATTGGGATCTCGGGCATACACACTGTGATATGTCAAGTCACATTCCACGTTAGGTGACAGATATACAAGTGCATTGAGAAAGGCAGTTTCTAACTGTTCGTTAGCGAGCAATCTGACGTAGACCCTTCTAATAGCATCAATATCCACAGTCACTTCATCAGGACCTAATTTTTGCACATTGTTGTCTCCCTGTGAGCTGTCACCCATCCTTGAAGAAGATGCTTCGGAGTCTTCTTCCATAGCGGCAGCAGTGGCAGCAGCGGCAGCAGCGGCGGCGGCAGCAGCGGCAGCAGCTGCAGCGGCAGCGGCAGAACACGCAGCCTTTTCCTTTTCATCTTCATCTTTGTCTTCATCCTTTTCTTGAAGAGATTTCAATTCCTCCTTCGTGTGTTGCTTGACTTTGCGAAAACTTAGAACCAGTGCCTCAGCACTAGAAAAAATTCTTCCAATTACTCGAATTAAAGGGGAGTAGTCATCACTCTCTGTACATACGTCAAGAATTTCATACACTATCTCTTCAGTCAGGTAATTCACATCTAGAAAATGGGAAGAAAAAGAATATTTATTGTTGCAACATGTGTTTATTTTGTCATAAGTCTTAGCAGAAAAAGCAAAATAGCTAAACATTCTGAGCTCGAAGAGTTAGAAATTTTCAAAAATAAATCTAATTTACCCATCAACACACAGCACTTAGCAATTCCTTTTTCATTTAAGTACTACCAATAAACTCAACCATTCTTTGGCATTCATTCAACAACATATAATTATTAAATATGTCATGCTTTGAAATCAAGACATGTATTAGTATGTTTTATAAGTATGAACTAATATATATTTGGTATTTTGTCACTATCCTTTATTACAACCTTCATGAAAAGCTACTACACTAAAATACTAGAAGCATTTTTCCCTTGCATTGTTCTCCAAAGAGTAAGGAGGGAAGATTTTATACGAAGTGTGCCTCAGTTCCATCATATACAAAGCAACTCTTTTTCTACTTCTGTATATATTAAAATATACATGCCTTAGCTCAGTACTTAGGAGGCAGAAGCAGGCAGATCTATGTGAGTTAAGAAGAAGAGTTCTAGGATAGCCAAGGCTGTCACACAGAGAAACCTTGTCAGGAAACCCGCCCCCAAATAAAACTACCAAAAACTGCTTCATTTTATGTATTCCTCATTTCTTCCAGAGTTTCTATTCTGTGACTGAAGAAAAGATACTACTATTCATGCAAACTCTTATGTTAAAACTGCTGCTACTGCTACTATTACCTGTTACCATGATTTAGGTCCTCATAACCCTTAAAAAAAGCAACTGCAAATTATTAGAGGCAAATAAAAACAAGTGGGTGAGAAGCTAATTCTTAGCAAAGACCAAAAGCACCAAACTTTCTGTCTATTTTCTCCCAGGCACATAACTGAGATCATAAACTTTCTAGCTTCCCTCACCTTTACAGTAAATGTCACTTTCACTAAAGGCTTTACCCCTTTTGGTTAACGAAACAAAAGACATTTTATCTTATTGGAAAAAAGTGAATTTTTTAGAAATTAAATATCAAATAATAATGCTGAAACCAAACTTAACCCTTTCATCGCAGAGCACCATACTATACTCATCAAATTAAATATTTAAGGGAGGATAATCTTATATTGACAATCCATCCCTACCTTCACTGTGCCAAGTATTTCCTTATATACATTCACCAAGTAAAAATCCTTTTTTTAAAAGAAATAATTTATTTATTTTACATCTTGGCTGTAGTTTCCCATCCCTCTCTTCTCCCATTCCCTCTCCCTCATTCCCCAACTGTTACTACCCCTGAATCCACTCCTCAGTTTGTTTAGGAAATGACAGGTCTCCCATCAGTATCAACAAAACAATATCATGTTGATACAATCTTTATGATAATTCCTACATATTATTCAAGGTAGCTAACTCAACAATAAGAGACAATATAAAATTCAAGTCATCATCGATGTAATGGTTTCCAAAAGATAAACCATGAAGCACTACACTTTATATTCTGCAAACCTGATCTGTGGCCTGTTTCAAGAAGACCAACACTTGTTTGTTTTTTGATCATGAATTCTTTCTTGAGAAAAATTGTTCTTATGTATATTTATTAGGGGCAAGGGGATGGTATCTATTTACTAGGGTAAGTAGTTGGCAGACGTGGTGGTAGGAGGATAACCGGAAGGAGTTGGTCTTCTCCTTCTACAATATGGGTCCTAGGCATCAAACTCAAGCATGAGGCTTGGCAGTAGGTGCATGTACCTGGACGAGACAGCATGTCTTCAAGAACTAATTCTTCAGCTTCTAAGAATAAGTAAGTATGAAAGCACTAACGTGGAGCTTATTTCTCATTATTCTAACTGAAAAATGTTATGGTATCTTCTTTGACCATTCAATTCTATCTAATTTCTCCGCAATGTTACCAAAACCATGAATAAACACCCTTTTAGGTGATAATATACTTGACCCACAACACACCAATACTTGTTCTAAGTAGTATTTGCTTCAAATGTTTAACTGACAACTCTCTCTCCCCCTCCCTCCGTTGTGTGTGTGTGTGTGTGTGTGTGTGTGTGTGTGTGTGTGTGTGTGTGTGTGTGTAAAAAGCATTGCAATCAGAAATACAAACAGTTATAATTTGGATATCAATGAACTCAAGATGTTCCTTCCTTAGCTTCCTGAGTACCTGGACTACAATGCCACTAGACTCAGCTTAAGAAACAGTCTTAAAACATAATATTTTATACTCTAAAAAGTACAAAACAGTTTCATGTAAGAAAAAAGCTGTTATACACTAATTGATACCTATATCTCTAATTAAACTAAATACAATTACCAAAAGGAAAGCACTAATATGATTATGCATGTATAATTCCTCATAAAAAATATTACAAAAATTGGAGTGATCCGCAAAACAAGAAGTTGCAAAAAAGAACACATGCGCAAAAACAAGACTAATACATCCATTATGTACTAGATTTTCCTACGGTTAGGTGCATGCAACCGTGGTAGCATATTGGACTTCATTTATTATTGTTACTCTGTGATGTCCCTCTATGGTACAAACACAAAATGGAGCCAACACAACTTCCATATTCAACATATTGATAACATTCATCTATTTATCCGTATGTGAGCAAATTTGTGAAAAAAAGACTGGCTATATATTTTGAGTAGCAAAGTTTCTGATTTTTCTATAGGTCTAATGTGGAAATAACAGTATAAAGATGTAACACAATTTTATTTCACTAATTCTTTTAAACATGTTTCAAATGACAGCGGGTCTAAGCTCTTGGCAATATGAAAAATTTAATTACCTCACTGTTAACACTAATTATACTAAGTGAAAGAACAATTGAACACTCATGAGGGAAAAGTGGAAAGTTTTAAGAAGTTTCAAAATATAGGACCATTTAAAAAAAAAAAAACAGCTTGGTTGGGAATATAGCTCAGTTGGTACTGCTTATCTTGAATTTAAGAAGATCTGGCTTCGCCGGGCGGTGGTGGAGCAAGCCTTTAATCCCAACACTCGGGAGGCAGAGGCAGGTGGATCTCTGTGAGTTCGAGACCAAGCCTGGGCTAACGAGCGAGTTACATGACAGGCTCCAAAACAATACAGAGAAGAGAAACCCTGTCTCGAAAAAAAAAAAAAAAAGGAAGACCTGGCTTCCTTCCTCAGTAACACATAAGCCGGGTGTGGTGGTATAATCCTTTATTCACTAAAAGCCCCAAGAGAGTCTCCAGTACCAAACAAAATAAAAAAATTCCAACAAGACCTGAGTCCTTTGTGAGGATATCAAAATACTGTGTTACAGAAGGCAGCATATGGAAAGGAAAAATTCATTTTTTAGATAACCATTGCAAACATTGCCTTGCTCTTTAAAACAGGAAAACAAACAAAGACTGCCTTACATTTTTTTTTAAGTATCTACTTCTTATACCACACTCTCCGGAGTTTCAGATTGAATTCAGGATTTAATGTAAATGCAAACTTTGTAGTAAACTTTGTGGCCTAATAAGCTAGTAGGTACAATGGAAATCATTACAACTTGAGATCAACTCATTAACCTATCAACTTTCAGAGTATATTCTGCTTTTGACTAACAACTACTATATGAATAAAATGTAATACAGTAACGAATCCAAGTGTAGCTGTCCTTCACCACACCTTACCAAGAGTGGCTTTTACTATAATGCAATGTCTTAGGGCACAAAAAGGCAACACTTTTAATCTCTGATACAGCTTTTGATTACTGTTTTCAACTGAAAATACAATCTCTTACCTTTAAAATCAGATTTCGCTCCTTTTCCATCCTTGTTCGTTTTTATCTCTGAATTATTAGTTGCACCTTTTGAGTTCTCAAGGTAGGCTGAACTTGCTCCTTTCTTGGAGGGATGAGGATCACAGAGTTTTGCATTAATTTTATAAAGCTCAAGGGCTTTAATAGCTGCTGCATTGTTATCCATACGAAGGAAAGTTGGACAGGAAGCACAAAACTCATTCGTACAGGCCTCATTTCCACAGCCCTCAGTCAACTGATGGTAGTAGCGTTCTATAAGATGCTTTGCAGCTGCTCGCTTCCTGTACCAGACATTCAAACAATAAGCCCAGTGATTAGTATTGCTCAAAAACAAAGCCCAACAGATAAAAGTTAGCTAAGCAATAAACTATTTAGATGCAGAAACTGGAAATCTACTATTACCCCCAAGTGTTAACTAGTGAAATAGTACTTTCTGTGAAACTGTGATAAAAATATGTCATCTTATACAAAGTACCAATTTAGTATAGTATGCTTTTCTTTGGTTTAAAAAAAGGTAAGATTAATTAGATGGTATATGATCCTTAAACTGTTTAGCACAACAACTAAAAACATAAAATCTTACATGCATCACTATGTTACACCTTGAAGTCAGTTTTCCTTTTCACTATATATAAAATTACTAATTCATTCTAATAACTCTCAAATACTTAATTTGCAGTTAACACCAAATTTCTAGAGTTTAAGAAGAAAAAAATTTCTCAATTAACAATCACGAGAGATTAATGTAAATCTTGTATACCAAGGGAAAGCAGGACCCTGAGCCCAGACTTGTCACTAACCCTCTTCATTAAATTCTTGTCATAGGAAAGACAGAGGTTTTAATTTCCATTAGTGCAAACCAATATTCATCTTACTTCATGAACTTTGAACATAAAGGTTAACATTCGATTATCATTTTTTTCAGGCAAAGTGATCAACAATATTTAAGGAATGAATTATATCACAACCAAGAAGTTGTTCTATATAACCTATCTCTGTACATTGACTAAAATTCTATTCTTTGAGATTACCACAATTTAAATACAATCAAAATCCACAATAATACAATCCAAATTACCCTTTGAATCTAAATTTACAAGCGTGGGAACTGCAAATAGGAAGAATCTACCTACTTCCCTTCTTAAAACTCCATGCCAATAGTTTACTAATGAGCAGAACTAGGTGACCAATGGCACTAGAAGTGAACAAGTAAATAGGGAACTGAGAAGTCTTAGATCTATGACTCCAAACCCAGGCAGATAGCTCAGAACTATAAAACTATCAACCCATTCAGGTGCTTATATTTTAGTAGTTGTTCCTATATATTTGCCACTCATAGTGTGCAAACAGAGAAAGGCCCACAGGCCAAGATGGATGACCTCAGCTTGATGCCTGGATCTCACTTGGTGAAAGGAGAGAACCAATTACCTTGAATTATCTTCTGATCGCTACGCACACAACATAGCATATGTCATATCACACACATCCACAAATATAAATAAATGTAATGAAGCTTACAGTGTATTACATGAGATAGAAATCCCACTTATTTCCCTGTAAACAGTGGAAAATCAGCAAGCCTAAGAACAGTGATCTGCTCCAATAAACTGAAAGCGTTCACCAAATAAAAGACTTGCAGACAGCCTTCCTGCTATATACTCCTAACATAACCAGTGACCAAATAGATGTAGGATGAGCCTGTTTGTATCAAACTATAAAATGATTTTCTGAATGACATGACTTCTTTCTTGCTTTTTATCCTAGCTATATTCTGTAAGTACGTACTTAAATAATAAAAATTACTAAATATGAATGAGGAAGCAGTTCTAAAACTCCATCTACATGATTTGAAGAGGCCCATAGTTAATTTATGTATCCATGATTTTTAATATTAAATTTTGAAGTTCAAAATACTAAAATACAATTTTTCTTAAGAATACTAGGTTTTGTCTAGAAAGAAGCCCAAACATCCCCATCCCTCCCCACCCCCTCGTGTGTGTGTGTGTGTGTGTGTGTGTGTGTGTGTGTGTGTGTGTGTGTGTGTGTGTTGCTTCTCTATGAGGTGAATAAAAACAGAACTGTTAATAGAGCTGGGTGGTGGTGGCACACACCTTTGATCCCAGCAATCAGGAGGCAAAGACAGGTGGGTCTCTGTGCTCAAGGCCAACCTAGTCTACAAAGCTAGTTCTACAGAGGACAGCTAGGCCTGTTACACAGAGAAACCTTGTCTTGAAAAAAGAAAAAAACTGGGAGGAGAAATCAGAATATCCAAGAGTCTATCTCCCATATAATCAATTGAGCTATCTTACGCAACTAATCGTCTAGGCCTCAATTTTAACATCTTGAGTTCTTTGTCTAGCACTCAACATCTAGTAATAAACACCGTGCACTGCCATGTACTCTGATTATCACACAAATTACCTAGAGTCTACAGCCAATAAGAACTGAAAAAGTCAAATCTTGTAATTGAGGCCTTACTCCTATGACCAGAAAAGGAGTCAGCAAGACTTCCACCTTCAGAATCTAACTTATTTCAAAGCACCATTTTACAGATGGTAATTTCAGAACAGTATGTAATTAGAACACAAAACCTTCTCCCCCACAAAAAAAAAAAAATAATCCAATCTTAACTCCACAATGATGAGTACTATCTGGGTATACTTCAGGAATTTCCTGAACAAATAATATCAATCTATTATGTAAGTTAATATATCTGAAATAGTGAAAATTCTCAAATAACTAATAAAATATTCTTTATTAAAAACAAAAATGTTACCTGCTATATACTGGGACATATTGTAAGGATCAGATGCTATTGCAATTGCTGAAATTGCTATCATTTGCACAAGTATATGACTTGGCTAAGAGAACTCTGCACTAAAACTCAGAGGAATGACACACGAAGCCACTCATCATTTGATAAAGGATTAAATAAAGCCTTGACTCCAAATTTTGAACTTTTAGTATTTCTAAGGAGAGATTGCAGAGTAACTGCTTGAACCTGACCTGCTTCTCTGAATACAACTGCGAACAGCAGCTCCATTAATAATAGTACAAATCAAGGTAAATTAAATAAAAAGAAGTCATGATAGAGCCTCCAAGATACTGGCAGAATCAACCATAGTAAGCACTATTCTTTGCTCTTCATCCCTAATGATACCTTAAATTACCTGAATGCCAAATTCAAGGCACATAAAAGACATAGATTTCACTCAGGACATATAAACAGCCTAGTCTAAACTGGAAAACATGCTTTTGATAAATTACCTGTACAATATTACTCTATATAGCTGAAGTCACTCTTGTGCCAAATCTAAATATCACTGCTTTTTTTTTTTCAGTTCAAGTTTAGAATATTTTGCATTTTCTTTTGTGGGGGGTAGGAGTGGTGGTATTCAAGATAGGGTTTCTGTGTGTCACAGAGCCCTGGCTGTCCTAGAACTGTAGACCAGGCTAGGCTGCCCTCCACAGATATCCACCTGCCTCTATTTCCTGAGTGCTGAGATTAATAAAGGTATGAGTCACCATTTTACATTCTTAAATTACTCAAAAGAAACACAGTATTTTGTTTCCCCATGTGAAAATTTGCATGAAATCTACATTTATATTTCCATATTTTCTAATATAACATAGCAAATTTTACTTATTTCTGTATTTTCTACATGGCCTCTATCACTTGGATCTAACCAAAATATAAGACATGTTGACGTAGAAACACTTCCCCCGTGCACTCCAGTGAAACTTTCATCTGTTTCATCTAATCATCTGGCCTCACTTTCTCTTTTTCCTCAGCAGATGAATGGAGTGGGCATCAAAAGAAACAAAGAAAGTGAAGAAGTCAGGAAATGAAGTGAAGCCTTTTCCTGACATTCATAATCAAAACTTGGCAAAGAGGAGCTGCCAATTACTTTTAGCTTCTTCACATTCCACTGACTTTTCTTGTGAATCAAAGAAAAACATGCATTCTTTAGTCCATAATGAGTTTCAAGTGAATCATGCCAGTGAGAGTATTCATTTAAAACAAATCATTCTTTCCACTTGTTTACAGCCTTCTAAAAAGCAACTGGCCATTACAGGAAAAATATTTTTCAATGTCTCGGTAGCACTAATAACATTATTTGCTAACTCCTATTAATTCCAGGTAATTCTGGAACAGTTGGATACTTAGCAATAGAAAATAAATTACAATAAAAATTCGTAAGTGGTAAGTATACACGGCAATGAGGCTATATACTAGGAGAATAAAGAACTACCATATAAGTAGTGAAGCATGGAAATCAAAACCACTGGACAGCTGCGACGAAAACAAGAGACAAAAGCTGAAAACCAAATGACTACGAAGAATGTGAATTAAGAAAATAATTTTTTTGTTTGTTTGTTTGTTTCTCTTTCGAGACAGGGTTTCTCTGTAGCTTTGAATCCTATCCTAGAACTTGCTCTGTAGACTAGACTGGCCTTGAACTCACAAAGTTCCACCTATCCCTGCCTCCCAAGTGCTCGGCCCAGCTAAAAAAAAAGACTTACTATATTTTTATTAGAGGTAAGTAGAATAAAAACATGAAGATTTGAGAAGACAGGAAGAAACACAATGGCCAAACACTTGATTAACCTGTGTATAAACTAGTAAGCACTGCTTAGTATCTTTCAAAGGGGAATGTCCCTTTACTTTTAGAATATGCCCTAGCTGGTCTTCCACAGGAAACATGAGTTTACTTCTCAGCATGCATGTCAAATGGCTCACAAAACTGCCTGTTACTGAATGTCTTCTTCTAGCCTGTCACAGGCACCCACACACATACATACATTACACACACACACACACACACACACACACACACACACACACAGAGCTGATTAAATCTAAATACAATCAAAGCTAATAAAGCTAATGCATAAAACACATTTGACAAAGCAGAATACATGTCCATGCCAAAAACATTAATAAAAGGAAACCAGGTGAAGAAACCAGCAGGCTTTCAGACTCCAGTTTGAGAACATGAATAACCACACCCAGGGATGAAGAGACGGCTCAGTGGTTAACAGATTGCTCTTCCAAAGGATCCAGGCTTGACTCTCAGCACCAACAAACCGGAACACAATCAACTTTAACACCCAGGGGAATCCAACACACTCCTTTGGCCTCTACGGGCACCAAGACATGCTGTAAGTGGTACGCAGACATACATTCAGACAGAACACACATAACTCTGATTTAAAAAATAAAAGGAAAAAGAACACCTACTTTCATCACATCTGAGTGACACAATATGGTCTCCAGACATAGCAATCAGGTAAGAAAAAGATAAAGGGACATCTGGGGAATTGGAAAGACTGGGGAGACGGCTCAATGGTTAAGAAGAGCATTGGTGGTTCTTTTGGAGCACACACATGGCAGCTCACAAGTGTCTGTAACTCCAATTCCGGGGGATCTGATACCTTCACACAGACATACACGCAGGGAAAACACAAACGGGCGAGAAATTAAGATAATTTTTCACACAAAGACACTTGGGGTAAGACGGGAGATAACAAGCTGCTGGCATGCGATAATGGAATAAAGAGAGCCAGGGTAGCAAGGAGTGAATCCAACTCCTTAGAGAGAAAGGGCATGCAATAATGGAATAAAGAGAGCCAGGGTAGCAAGGAGTGAATCCAATTCCTAAGAGAGAAAGGGCATGCGATAGTGGAATAAAGAGAGTCAGGGTAGCAAGGAGTGAATCCAATTCCTAAGAGAGAAAGGGCATGCAATAATGGAATAGAGAGAGCCAGGGTAGCAAGGAGTGAATCCAATTCCTAAGAGAGAAAGAACACTGGAAACCACAAGAGGCTTTACAACAGGCGAGAAACAAAGAAAAGGGCTGCCTGGCAAAACAGCAGCAAGTTGTTCTAGTCAAACAATGGGGTGCTGATAGGGGTCATCTAATCCACAATGGCGCTGATTAAAAAGACACTGTAGTGTTGGTCACAGGACAAGCAACTGTACTCAGAAAGCTTAATTCAACTTGGAGGTTCTGGAATGACACTGAATTATTCTAAGTCATTCTGGAACTGCATTCTGGAGAACTACAGTCAGGTTTCAGGAGAAGGAACCTACATCCGTTTGAGAATGACCTACTGTGGTGGCTGAAAACAAGGAACAATCACAGGTAAGGGGAATGGGGGATGTTCTGCCACACTCACAGCAGAGCAAGGCAGTTGTGGGGTAGAAAACTGAACAGAAAAAGGTGGAGATACTCAAGTAAAAAGACTAGGGTTGAAGGGCGCTGTGTCAATGAACCAGTGTTTCTGGGGCAAGGAACATACCCCATCGTAAGACATGGAGGATAAAGTGTCAAGACTGGACTCATGGGCTGCTCAGCCAGCAAAACTGAGTCACTGCCATGAGGTCTGCTGCCTACAGATGTTGACAACTCTGAAGGTAAGGTCCTATGTGATTACCCCTTGCAGTGTGCTGACTATAGGCAGGATATAAAAGCTCAGAAACAAGTTCTCTAGAATGAAGAGTGCTTTGTTTGTTGGCCTCCCTCATTTTTAAACACTTGGGAAAGGTTAGAATTAGCCAACTAAGAGACAAAAACTGGGATGTCCCTGAAGGAAAGAAAATCTCTAGGCCATGAGCAGCAAAAAGTGCAGCCTACGGAGGTCCTAGTATTCAGAAACACTGAAAATCTCAAAGCAAAGGCTGTTCTCCAAGATCAGATGATCTTTGACTGGTTCCAAATCAGCACCAAGCTGAATAAAACAGGAAATGGAAGACTCCAAAATCACCTGACAAAATGTTACATATAGCAGACTGTAATATTAGGGGATGTAGAAGAAATTACAACAATACATTTTCTTTTACTTGTTATTTCTTTAGAGTATGATTTTTGTTTTCTTTTGATAACCTTTTACGAACAATTTAGATTATTCTCAAAAGAATAGTATGCTCTTATTATTCAATTTGTTATTGTTGTTTGCTTCCTATATTTATTTACCATTTGTTGCTTTCTTCTGTTAACATTCTTTCTTTTCCTTTAAACCCGCTCCCACTTTTTCTTGCATCTTTGTTTTATGTCATTAAGTTACTATTTCTAATTTGACCCTGAATAATTTTAATTTCTTACTACTTTTTAATGGTCATTGGTGCTATTAATGCTGGCACCAATCAATTTAAAGTCTACTTCTGTATCTGGTTTGGCGTTATTATTTCCTGCTACAGAGATTCCTTTGCTCTTCTGAGTAGGATTGAAAACTCACAGTCAGGCCTATTACAAATAAATCTAGAAAACATATTCTTCCTGACAACTGTACAAATTACAAAACAGAAACGAACAAAACATTAAAAAGCAAGGCAACAAAACTATTTCAAAAGATCAGATTCAGTAATTAACACAAAGCTAACTCAACTGATTGGAATGCTGTTCAAAGAATTCCAAACATCAAAGTGCCAATGATCTCAGAAAACACAAAACAAAGAATAAACACAGAAGCAACTTCAATATCTAGATAAGAAAGTCAGCAAAATAATGGCTGAGAAATTCAGCAAAGAATTAAGATTGGGTTGAGAGAATGGTGGAAAAGAAAAACAAATAATCAAATAATTAAAATCACAGTGGAGACCATGAACAATAGACCAGATCAAGTACAAGACAGGACAGCAGGAATTGAAGATAAATACTCTATACAGACACCAATAAAATTAGCAAGTAAACGTAATCGTGATGTTAGGACATAATCAAGAAAAACGGAAGAATCCATGGAGGCAGAAGGAACTGAGATACAAAGTAAAGCATGGAAACCAAATCAATGAACTAACAGCAGAAGATGTCCAAAATCTAGGGGAAGAAATAGATATCTACACAGGAAGATACCTAGAAACTAAATTATCCATGATCAGAAAGAGCCCCATAGCACATTACAGGTCAAATTTTAACACAATAGAAAAAAAAAATTCTGAGCTGAAAAACAAGTATCAACAGAAAGAACTATGAAAGAAACAATAAAATTTAACCAACAGATCTATCTCAATATAAATAATCTTAGCATTCCAATTAGTAACAGATTAACAGGTTGGATTTAAAATAGGGTCAAATTATTTGTCGTCCACAAGAAATACATTTCACCAGAATACATACTAAAAGAGAAAAAAAGATTATGAAAAGTTAATGAAAGTCAAAAACAACTAGAATGGTGACACAAGCATATGGCTATGTACTGTGAAAGGAAACAATCCATGAGGAACATAAAATTATAGATATATTATAAATATAAGTGTTTATATTATTAATATTATAAACACTATAGCATGTGATATGTAGTATATAAAATATGTATTTTATATATACACAATGAGTGGTGGTACACCCAAGCTCATAAAACAAGTAGTAGTGGACAGAAAGCAGCAAATTGAGTTCAATTAAAATTATAATGGTAATTTTCAAAACTAATAGCTCATCTAAAAACAAAAGAAATATCTAAAAATCTAAACTGTACCAAACATCAAATGTACTACCTCAAGACATCTAAAGTACATTTAACCTGCTGTAGAATAAACCTCCTTGGCAGCCCATGGAATTCTCTAGAAGATAAACCACATTTTGGAACTTAGGGTAAATTAACAACAATAGCAACAAAATTACTTTCTTTCATTTATAATGGAATAAAATTAGAAATGCAGAAGCAACTATGTAAGCTATACAAATTCCTAGAGACTAAACAATACAATCTTGAACATCTAAGAGTCGCTGAAGAAATCAGGAAGGAAATCTTTTAAAAGGAGTACATAAAACGAGAAGAAAGCATACTATAACACAGCAAAAGTCATCCTGGGTGAGGAACCGCAAACCCAGAAAGATAAATACGGCATGCATTTCCTTAGCTGTTAAGTGAATGATAAGCAAGCTACAATCCGTAGACCCAGAGAGGTTAGGTTAAGAGGCAGGGTCTAGCAAGAACGCCTGGATCTCCCTGTAAGGGGAAAACAATATATTTCAGACTGACTGGGCATGAGTGGGGACATGAGTAGGGGAAGTATCTGGTATGGGAGGGAGAGATGGGGTGCAGGGAGATAAAGCAGGCAGAGATGGCTGGAATTGGGCGAGCGGGATATTGGGGTGAAACCTAGTGCAGTGGAATTTAGTGGAATCCATAAAAAGAAAAAAGAGAGACTATAGCAAGAATCGACAAATGAGACTGCATCGGTTCAAAGGCAAACAATCAGTAGAGGGGAGAGACAACACACATAATGAGAAAATCTTTGCCAAGTACACACCTAACAGGGAATTAGTGTCTAGAATGTGTAAGAAGCAAAATTTAAACACATACACACACAAAATACCTATCATCAAAATGTTAAAAAATGGATAAATGTACTGGGTAAACCTCTAAAACGGACATACAAGTGGCCAATAAATGCATTTAAAACTTCTACATCAGAAAAAATACAAATTAAAATATTAAGATGACTAACCCTAGTCAGAAGACTGTCAAGACAACATAAGTTTTTTGCAAGAATGCTAGGGGGATGGTCTACATATTCCTGGTAGAAATACAAATTGGCACAGCAAGTAGGAAAATTTAATGCAGAGGGTCCAAAAATAAGAAATAAAAAACCTATCATATAATCCAGGTATACTACTTTCAATTTAAGTAATCTATTCCATAGATTGGAAAGGTATTTAGTATATATCTACTGAGGCACTACTCACAATAGCCAAGGTGTAGAATCATCCTGTAGTCCTCAACAGAAGAATAAATTAACAAAATGTGGTGTATATTCATAAAGAAGTTTAATCCATCCATAAAGAACTAATTATTTCATTTGCAGGAGAACAGACAGGACCAGAGAGTACGTTAAGATAAGCATGCAGGATATCTGATATGTTACCCCTATGGCAGGCATGACCCACAGGCTGAGAACTACTAACCTGGGATCCTGAATGACTATAACTGTCAACACAAAACATTCTATCAGTAAAACTATCCACAAAAATTGTAGCACAGCACACACCTTTTTTTTTTTTCCCTTTCATTTCCTTTAATTTGTGTCTTTGGGGAGGGGATTGAGACAATTTATATTGAGTTATTGAAAGATGTGTATTGATTCCTGTTTTTATGATGAAAAGTTTGTATTCCAAAAAATAGAAAGAAGACATGGAACTTCTTTTCATGATGCCAACATCACCCTGAGACCAAAACGGGGGAGGGGGGAGGGATCTCAAATAAACATAGCCCAAGAAATTCTCAACAAAAATTTTAAAAGTGAATTCAGGAATACATCAGAAAGAATAGTCACTGTGACCAAGTGGAATTCGTCCAAGATGTAGGAACTTTTCAACATACACAAATAAATAAATGTAAGCCACCACACAAAGGTTCAGGAAAACAGGATCACCTAGTTTAGATGCAGAAAAATACACTGAAAAAAAAAAAAATCATTCATTCCTCCATGATGAATGTTCTAGAAAAACCTAGTGCTACAGAAGACACACCATAACAGAATAAACCCAATATATAAAGAGCCAACATCCAACAGCATATGAAGTAGAAAAACTCAAAGCATGTCAACTAGAATAAGAAACAAGATAATATGGTCCACTCTGTCCATTCTTGTTCAACATAACGCTTGAAGACTTATTTGGGGCAACATAGTAAGTGAATGGAAAGAAGGGAGAAAGATTAGAAAGCAAAAAGTCAACGTATTCTTATTTACAAATGAAGTTATTTTATACCTAAAAGATCCTAAAGACTCCATCAGAAAATTCCTAATAGCTGGTAAATATATTCAATAAAGTATAGGACACAAATTTCACACATACACACACCACACACAACACACACCAATAGCCTTCCTATACACCAATGACAAGCAGACATCAGGAAATCAATCCCATTAACAACATCCATGAAAATTTAACAAAACAAAAATAAAATTCCTTTAGAATTGAAGAAAATAATCTCAAATTTCATTTGGAAACACTACAAAAAATGGGATAGAATAAACAATAGTGAAAGATTAAAAAAAACTGCTGGAGAGATCAACATCCTAGTGATTACAAGTTATATGACAAGTACTTTATAGAACAAGACAAGGATGCTCACTCTTGCTATTCCCTTTCAATAATACTTGCAAGTCTTGGCTAAAGTATTAAAATACGGGATGTAC